CATAAAAACCAGATGGATGTCGCATATTCTTTATGCCAACTTGAATCTCTCGACTAATTGGAAGCACGTTCTCCCCAATTAAACGACCCACATAAAACCGCGATATGAAAGAATGCTTTGATAACTTTGGGTTTACAGCCTCTCGACCAGGGCACAGGATTCTGATTGTTTTATGGCTTCTTTCATATTTTGTTTACAGGCGGTGGATGGGTGGGGAGGAATTCGGGATTTTTAAATTATGGGAAATTTTTAAAATTAAGTTTTAGGTGATATTTTAGTAAGTTGACGTCGGAAACTTTGTTTACAGACGACATGAATCAGATTTTGGGATTGTGGATCTAAAAAGAATTTTGAATAATTTTAAAAATTAGGGTTGAAATTTTTTGTAAGGAAGATTTGTAAATTAAATTTTTTTTATCATAAACCTAAAAAAGGAACTCTTTTATCCCTAAAAAAACGTTTTTTTTGAAAAATTTTGCTAGGTCTGTCCAATTTATTGATCCGCGGTTTTCTTTGGAAGCACGATGATCTAGGTTTGTTGGAAAAAGCTTTGTTTACAGTCAATGAAACCATTAGTTGGAATTTTAGAATGGAAAAGAATACATACATTCATACTTAAAAACTAATTTTGTGGTTTAAGCTTTCCATTTTTGGGCTTGATCTTCTTCTTGATTTTTCATTTAAAAACTGTCTGTCTTGGCGTCTAAAAATAGAATTTAGAATCGCTAGATCACAAAATGAGAAAAACTGCGTCTAGTTACTATGAATTCCTCCAAAACAGTCTAATTTACGACCAATGACGCACACTTATACCTACTTCAATATACTTTTGAGAAACAGAATCAGAAGTTTTAATTACTATAACAAGGTCCGATTTACGACATATGATGCTACCGTGGCGAATGCCTTCTGATAACCTGAGCGAATACCTGTTTCCGGCGATTATTTACGGGCGTGGGGTTTTATGGGGGAAGAGACGTGCGCGACTTTGTCGTTATCTTGAGGTTAAGCAAATAGGGACACTTAATAACATGGTGCATATCTTCATACTTATTCTCGCGCATTCCCTCGCGCGCTGATATTTGATCTGGCCATCTTTTCACCTCGGTTTGTTTGCTAACGCATTGTCTCTATTACAGTAAACGGCGGGACACACCCGACCCCCAAACGGGTTCCGAGCAGCCAATTTTACAAACTTTATGCTGACTTAATTTTGTCACAAGTTTGTTGCTTCGCTCGAGTTTAGTTTTTAAATTTATTACTTTTATTCAAGTTTTTGTGGTTTTAGGTACTAAAGGTCATGGTGAATATGCAGATTGTGTTTAGTTTGGGTTTGCTTTACCTGGGGTGGGTAAAGTGAAGCATTTTATTTATTATATGTACAAAGGTTTAAAGTAAGGTCATATTATCAACTACATTTGGCCGTTGCTTTGCATATAATGAAACTATGACTTATAAAAATTGAGTTAGAACATATTATAGTAGACCTGAAGCAAGCTAACTTCAACATAGTACCTTACCTGACCTTACAAAGTCATGAAAACCTTAAAATTGCCTTGGCTTACTAAAAGGACTTCTTCTACCTTCAACATATCGTTGTTTCTATGTCCTACATAGTACGTTACTCTATGTTCAGCATAGTAACAAGACTTTACTTAAGCCCCAAAAACCGACCAAGTTTTTCGAAACTCAAGCTTTGTTTTTGGTTATGCCTCGGATATAAGCGGGGGTTGTGGGCCGGCGGACGGCCTTAAGGCTACAGATGCTTATTGGATGAAAGTGCACGGCCCAAAAGTAAACGGGCAATTGCGCGCGGCCAAGACGAACTCCATTTTTCATAACGTGCCTACGGTGGGGAAAGGGACACACTGCCGGAGGGGGGCAATTATGGCCCTGCTCCTCTTCGATTATGGGAGAAAAAAGCATTCAAAAAGAAGGCCGGCTTCAGGCTTATCAAATTTTCATTGAATCCACAGACCCATCTTCTGCCTTTCGGGGCCGGAACTGGCCAAGGCCTCGGCGCACGGACTTTCGTGCCGCCTTTGAGGGAATTCGTTTTGAGTCTTCCATAAGTATTCACTGCATCCGCTTTTATCTTCCCCCGGCTACGGTAATATCCTCTCGTATGTGGTCGTAGCTTGTCTGTGTTTCATTGGATACGAAGTTGGCTATGGTTCACTGAGTTAGCAGGTTTTGGTCAGAAAGTTCGTAGAAATGAGAGAGAAGTGAGGCTGGGTCTTTTGTGGGGGTTTTCTATGCACTTTTTGACCTATCTACTAGAAAATCAACTGAGAGTTTCTGAACTTTATTGCTCTGCTTAAGTGCTACAGTGAATCAAAATTGTGTAGAATGGTTCTTTATATGACATATAGGCTAGTACTCGATGTTCTACATACTTTTTAGCCAGACTGCTAGTTGGTGGGCTAATATTTTCACGTCTTTCTTCTTTTACTTACTGTACATAAAAATTACAAGACATATAATTATACAATATAGGTTTATGCTTAGAGTTCTATGCACTTTTTGACCGTCTACTAAACTTAAACTACTTGAATATTACGTTTTCTACTTTCCTATAAATTTACCATCAACTCCAGATACCTTCTTCTATAATCCTGTCAAAAGTAACAACAATATACGGTGAATGTGACACAGCTACAGCTTATTATCCACCGTGAGGGAGGCTATTGTTCCGCCGTACGGTAATATTGGTTGAGTTGATTCGTTTGTTTAAGCCTCGAAACATGTATCGGGGGATTAGGAGGGGGAAGATGGTCATGTCAAAGTGAGTGAACGGCCCCAGGATCAATGTTTATGTGTTTCACGGTAGTTTATCATGTTCTAATCACTGCTACGGTGCCGGACATGTTCGTATGTTGGGTCAGTTCGACTTTGTGCCGAGTTTGGGCTTCGTGGGGGTTTCGGGGCTCCTATTCTTGGATTCTGAAGGTTATTCAAGCCCTGTTAGACGCTGATATGTTAACTCTAAGTAGACTACAGTTTTTTGAATTACGGTACTCTTACGGTATCAAACGAACCTATCATAACTGGCTTCCTACTGTTTTTACAACTCATTTCAAACAACACAATTCAAATATAATTAAATTTGAATACGTTCGTCGTAAAGTCATCTACGTTACCTTAATGTCTACCCTCTAGTCTCTTTACCACGCCGACGTGGTGTCATACTGGGCAGTAAATGTCGCGGCTTGACATTGCTTTCGCGACATTACAAACCACATGTTGTGTTTCATTTCTGCGAACAAAAAATTTTATTTTATGAGTGGGCGGGGCAATGGAATTTTAAGTATTTTGAGGGGATCGCGATTGGTTTGGCCGCGCACTCGCCAAATTGTTTTTCATATCGTTTATTCCATATTACTTTAGTTTGGGTTTGTATTACTTTACGCTGGGCTTTATTAGATTACTTTGAGGGGGCAGGGGAGGGATTCCTTTGGTTATTATAGTCTACATTACTTTAGAGTAAATTTTTTGAAACATTTTGTTAAAGTTTAAGTTTTTTACTTTACTAAAGTAAAAACCTTAAAGTAACTTTGCTATTTCATTACTGAGCCTATTCTTAAAGTTTTGACTTTAACGTGCTTTCATCTTTTTATACATCTTTGTTACATTTACCTATATCTATCATTATATTCACCATGCCCTTCCTTATGACTAACTATGACCCTTGCCTAACCATAACTCTAACCATAACTCCCATTACTCACCGCTTATTACGGTTATGAACAACATACCAAACTTCCAATTGTGACCTTAAAGCGTTCCGAACCGTGGTAAAAGGTTGATTAAACTGATTACATCACTGTTTTATCATCTCTCATTTAATTTCACTAACTCGAAATGAAAGTAGTTTTTAATATTGGACGAATTTTAAATTAAATTTTAAGAATTCCTCTCTCTCGGCTTTGTCGAGGTTGCCTTCAGCACGTTTTGCTTTTATTTTAATGCACCGTGTATTTTCGAGAGTCTCGAGTTTCAAAACTTTTCGTCGAGAGTTACGGTAGGGGGGCTTCTTCTTCATAACTCATACAGCTTTGTTTCTCTGTCGTCTCTCTCTGTGTGATCTCTTTCTGTGTCTTCCCTCTCTGTGTTTTCCCTCTCTGTGTCATCTCTTTCTCTGACGTCTCTCTCTGTGCCATCTCTCTCTCTCCTTATGACATCTTTCTTTCTGTAGCCCTCCTTCTGAAACCTCTCTCTTTCTCTCAATCACTCTTCTCCTCTAACTGTCTCCCCACCCTCTTCTGGCCCCACACTCTCTCATCGTATTATGTTTCCTGTGTGATAAGCCCCGCCCCCTTACTTACTGCCTTTTCGAGTTAATAATTCGCTTCGCCTTAAGACAGCCGGAGGGCGTGGCTGGCTCGTCATAACCGATTGTAAGAGTGTAGTTGTAACACCTATCCTACTGTAACTGGAGCACTTCCGGTGTCAGTGCGTTCTCACCTTTAATTAGCGACCTTTTTTGATAATCGACTTCTGATTCCGACCGACGAGAAACTTCAGGATCCTTAATTACTTTTATTATAACACAATTACTGTTACTTTTCAACTCGCGCAATAACTTCGAACGACTTACCTTGTTATATGACTGTTGTTCTTCCCTTAAACGACTCGTCTTATATCAAACGACCCATGTTGTGTTAGGTTAACGAGCGATTTTGTGAAAGTTGGGAAACCATTGTTGTGTTTGGGGTTACTATTTTGGTTTATGTGACATGTAAGATACTTTATGATATCTTACGTGTGTTATCAGTTTATCAACTGGTGTTATGTTAGTCAAACAACTACTTTATAATAAGAGATATGAGTTAATAATATGAGTTATATCACCTAAACTATCAAAATTAATTGTGATATTAGCCATACCACCTATGTTGTGCAAGTTTATGTTATGTTAGCTCGTGTTACAAGTTTTGTCGCCTTTTTAATTAAGAATTAATTAATAATTCAGGCTCCATGCTTTGATGATTGAGGATAAGATGCCTACGGCTCCTCGACGCAAGCAAGCCAAACCTCAGCGAGTTCCGGTCGAAGGTGAGTTATGTTATGACACATTGTTTTTGTCTTATTTTTTGTCTATAATTCTTGTTTTTTCTCGAATTTTGATCATTTTTATTAGTCTTTTATCAAAACTTTTACATAGATTTTTTTTGAAATTTAAATTTTTTTGATAATCTTGGGTTTTTAATGTTTTAAAAATATTTTTAAAGTTTTTTTTTTGACTTTCTGACTTCAAAAGTTAATTTTATGCCCAAAATTTAATTTCCCTAAAAGCGTAAAGTAAAGGATGACATGTTTGTGCAAAGCCATTAATATTGATGGGTGTCATTAGACTGTTATTATCACTATTATACAGTAGTTTCTTTGTTTGTCATCAAACGTGTCGCGCAGCCCCCTTTTCTGTGGCCGCTTCCGAAAGGGGACGGCACCGGAACTTGAATGGCATCAAAAGTCGTTTAAACGATCGGCGGCCAAATCGCGAAATGTCATTTTTCTTGAGTGCCGCCGCTTTCTGGATTTTTTTTTCGCGGCGCGTCTTTAACCGTTCTTAACTGTCCTTTCCACTGTTCTGCCCACTGTTGCTTCCCTGTGCCTTCACTGTTCTTTCCACCGTGCCTCCGCTGTTCTGCCCACTGTTGCTTCCCTGTGCCTTCACTGTTCTTTCCACCGTGCCTCCGCTGTTCTGCCCACTGTTCTGCTCAATAGCTTGTTGGCCAGTAATACCTTTTTTTATCACCGCCCGGATCTGGCGGGAACTTCAAAGTCGCGACATCATAACCGGCCTTGAAACGTATCATAATCCCAGCTACCTCCTCAGCTGCCGCTCCCAACAACAACGGCCGTTGCTCAGTCAAGGCCGTCTGTGAACAAGTTTTCCCTCCGAAAAGGTTGGAATTATGATTTGTCAGCCCGAAATCAATCATGTTCTTAAAGTGTTTCGCTGAAACGTTACAGGGGACCTGTTGCCGGACTGTCAGGATTAGTCATCTTCCGTTAATAGGTTTGTAGTCTTTGATGATAGCTATCTTTATATCTAAAATTAGACGAATTCAATATGAAACACTATGACCAAACTCAATATAAATGCATAGAGACCCTCCCTCTCTTCATAACAGAGCGGAGAGTACGGTAATAAGCGCGGGAGAGTCCCATTGGCCGCGGCCTTGCATAGATTAATATGAGTGAGAGAGGGACCTTGTTCTTGCTCTCACTTTAAACCCATCCGATGACATGGGAGTAGTGACGGTCCTCGCACGGTACGGCGTCCCCATGCCCTGCGGCGCTTCTCAACGTTTTTTGTCAATGGTGTGGCGTCGTCGCTCGTCAACTTCTGCCTGAATTCACCCGCTCCCAAATATTAATTTGATTGACATTAACTCGGATCGGAGCCCTTTAACTAACAACTTAACGAGCGACGACAAACCGTTCGTTCTCTTCCCCCAACGTTCTCTCGCCGTGCGTCGCGAGGGCCCGGCTGCTTTTTATGCCCCGGGTTATGTTCGTCTACAGTCACCGTAAATCATGCACTTGCGCGGCTTCAAAGAGGTGACGCCGCAAGAAAATGCGAAAATTTATGGGAAAAGTTGGTGATAAGAACAGTTCTCCCAACATAACACAATGCGACATAACATTACACATGTTTCGACATACGTTGTCACAGTCGATCAGGGTCAGAGATGTTGTCATAGGTAGTTGTAGTAATCAATAATAGACTTAAGTAAAGTAATCAACGATAGACACAGGTAATGATGGTAAAGATTCTATAAATAGATATTGGTATCAGAGATCATTATAGATATTTAGAAGTCGATTCTGATAAGAATATTGTAGTAATAGAATGTTAAGGTATGTTGCAGTAGTAAAAGGGGACTGAAAGGTTACAAATTCTAGAAAATAGTTGTAGGATAAGGTAATTCTACATACTTTTTGACCGGATTGGCTGATAAAATCGGTTTTCTAATTACAGTTTTGCTAAAAGTAGTGATAGTGAGTTTAAAATAGGATAATATCGTATGTTAATGCCTAAGATATCATGGAGTTTTATGTTGTCAAAGTAAAGTAAAGCAAACAGCTTCTTTCTCTGTTTGAATTTCCAGAGCTGATGACATTTCAAGTCTGATATGATGACATTATATGTCAATATATGAGCCTGCTATGACGCTGTGTCATCTCCTGATAACTGGAAGGCAGATGTGGAGGTTATGGGTAATAATATATGGCGAATTCATACGTTTGGCGATGTCATATACAAGGCGATGTCATGCTGACTCCATATTCGGAAATGGCCTTTCCTCGCTTCGGCTTCATTAAACGCCTTTGTGTCCCCTCAAAACGACATTATTAATTGCGCAGGCCAACGAATTCCATCGAAAAACATTAAATTTCGAAAGGCGGCACTCCTTTAATGACCTGCCCAAACAAAACGACAACTGTGTGTTTTGTTATGAGCTTCGATTACATTACAAAAAGCCGTATTTTAGGCCGCAATTTGTTTTTGGAGAGTGATCTAGGGGTAGTTAAGGACAATTAAGAGTAGTAGCTTTGAGCTGAGAATCAATCTTTTGAAGTATTTTAGATCAAAAAAGAAGTAATTATGTCAATAAAAGCTTGTTTTACTTCAATCAAATGTTACTTTAGGCCCTTAAAAGGAAGTTTAGGTAACTTTACGTATATCGGAAATTAATATAAATCATTTTACTTTAAGAAAAGGTAATACTTTTTAAAAGAAAAAGTAATAATTTTAAAAAAAATTACATCATAAGCTTATTATTTTTTTTAAAATTTGTTTGGAATTGATAAAAATTCTTGCTTAAAATTCATTAAAAATTAATTTTAAGCTTAAATAATGGGTTATATTTTAAAGTTACTGTATTTTTAGATGTTAATTTTTAATTAAACTTCTATGTATGTTACTTTGAACTTAATTGAGGCTGTAAACGTCTACTTTACATTACTTTTTATGGAATATTAACCTGAAATTAACTTATAAATTGCACTTTTCTTTGACTTTTAAATTCATTTTTAAAATTTTAAGAATTTAAATTTTAAAAGAAAAGTTTTTATTTTGAAAGTGCCATTTTTAAACACATATGAGGTCGTCTGAAAAAGTTTTGTCGTTTTTTAAAGTGCAAAGTCTTGTTAATTTAAGAAAAAATTTTTTTAACAGTTTAAACTGTCATAAAATATCATTTTTTGGCCATAACAAGCTACTCTACATATATTATTTAGCTTCTAATCAATCAACTTCCTTTATATAAACTTAAATGCAGCAATAAAACATTAAAATTTAAGTTTAAAATCTCAAAATATCAATTCTGGCTAATTTTGAATCTATGCAATTAGAAGATACCGTAACGCCAGTAGTAATGTTACTCATAAACGGTCTCGAGGATGACTTACATTAATATAATCCGAAAGGCCCGAAACGTGGCCACAAAAGGAGGGAGGGGGGGGGTACGGTCTGATTCTGTTTATTTTGTTTAAAGCTCTGCTGATTTGGCCGCTCTCTTTTCCACTTTCCTGGCCAATATGCTTCTGCAAACGTAGCCTTATACGGAGCTTTTAAGCCTTGTACTCAGCTGTTACTAAGCTTGTAATCACTATACTGAGCTATTACTGAGCTTGTACTGGGATGGACTTAGAGTTTTAGGTACTACTGAGGCACTACTATTGCGTTGTTCAAATAATTCTTTCTGTGTTTCTCTTAAAGCAAATTTTTTGGGTTCAAAGGGCCCAGGATTATTTGAACAACTTAGTACATACTGTTTACATTGTCATACAGTTGGGGCATTACTGACATATTACTGGTCTTCTTTTACCATCCTATAACCCATATTATGACCTAATTTGTAGTTTGTTGTGACACGATATTAACCTTTGCTTGACATAGTATGGAGACTGTAGCCAAACACCTGTCTGCACTTTTTAAACCTTTTTATAAATTTCTGAGCTGAACCGATGCTTTCAGAGAACGACGAAGAAGTACCCAGCAAGAAGGAGTGTCATCGTGCCTCGACCCCCCTCGGCTTCGCTTTCAACTCCAGTCTGGATTCTACACTGCAGTCCCGGCTGTTTGGCCACAAGGTAGGGATTAGCATATTAAATCATTATAGAATTGGATATTGTAGTAGAGAATAAGATATTGTAGTAGAGAATGAGATATTGTGGTAGGGAATTGGATATTGTAGTAGGGAATGGAATATTGTGGTAGGGATTTGGGGATATCATAATGGTATGGGGTGTTATGAATTTTATGGTACGTTAAGAAGGCTGGTATAGCTTTGGATATTAAAGTAGTTTCATGGAGATTGTAAGTTCTGATGCGTTTTAGAGGGTTTAATGAATGTTGTAGTAGGTATTGAGGTCAACATAGTAGTACATATTGGTTATAAGGCAATATTAAGCGTAATTTCCATAATATTTACTAAATTAGGTATTAAAAACTTCTAATCTTTCAATTTTTACTAATTTTAAAATTTTCGAAATCCAATTTTTCATATTTCAGTTCGACCCTCAGGGCCCGGACACTGCTCCAGCCTTGGATCTGAGCCAGGATTCCAAGAATCCGTCGATCAGCGATTTGTTGCGCTTTACCGACAACCCCTCCGGCAACTTTCTGCTCCAGACACTCAGCTCACAGGTGCGTTTGCATATCTATATTAACCTTGATGTATATTAAGTTTGGTGTTTGAGTGGGCTGTTACTCGGCCAAAAAGGTATAGTAGCTACTTTGTAATGCAGGAATAATGGCGTGCGATGTGCTGTTTACTGTGCCATTAGCGACTAAATATATTCTTTATTCAAATTATTGAGGGCTACGGTAGGCTGGGGGGGGTGGAAAATATTTAAATTTTTGGGAATTTTAGGTAACAAAATTGTTAGAAAATAAAAAAATATTTAAAATTAAGGCAAAAAGGTTTGAAGAAAATTATGTTTTTTGGTATTTTAGGTAACAGACTCTTTTAAAAAATGGTTTTTGGTGATTTATAGGACTTCTGAAGTCGATATAAGACGTTTTTGATAATGTAAATAACCTTTAGAATAGATAAAAACATCTTTTTGATAATTTAAAATGATTTAAAAGCCCTTTCAAGCCTAATTCGAATAGATTTCGAGCAAACTTTCCCTGATTCGAAGGAATTAATCAGATTCTCATTGAATCGCTACAAACAACTTCTATTGTTTGTGATTTGCGGTAATTTGCGTCGTGTCATGTCCCACATCTGGCGTTACCGTACGTTTTTTTAAAGCGATCTCCATATTTCGGAATTCTCGGGGAGGGGGGGGGGAGAAGACAAAGGCCATAAAAACTGATCCGTCGGACACTTCTCATCCGTCTTTTTTAAGTGAAATCAACACAAAAATTGTCAAAATGTCTTTTAGGGTTTAATGGGCGGAGGTTACTGTGCAGTTTATTACTCTGCCGTCTTGTATCTTGCTCTTGAGGATGGTGTTATGTCTTGTCCTTGGGGGAAATGTCATACATTGGTCTTGGGGAGGTTTGGATGAGTTATGAGGTGAAACAACATGATGAGAGTGGCATAAAGGAAGCCAAGGTGACTACTATAATATAAAGCTAATCTTTCAAATCATGAGAAAGACAAGACTCAGTCCAACCTACATCAATATAAAACTGAAATATAGACTAATATAGACTAACGACACCCCCATATCAATATAAACCTTGATACACATCAAAGACACCACCAGTAAAGACCAATATGCATCAGCGCCCCTATACCAACATGAGATGAGTCATGGCGGTTTAATTAAAAACGGCCTTGATTTAATCAATGCCTCGGGGGACGGCGCTCCGTAAAAGGCATGAAATGTGACATGTCTTAACGTATTCCCTTAATTAAACATTTATAAGCCCAGACACTTAATATGTTATGTAAACTGTTTTAGCGCCGCATAATGGCTGATTCATTTGAGCGGGCCGCCCGAACTTGTTGTATGCCATGTGGCATCGCACACATTAGCACAATTAAGGCACAGTAATCGGTTAAAGGTTGGCAGTCGGGAGTGGCATTAAATCAATTCTCATTTTACAACCTTGAGTTTGTTTTGAATTCTGGTTTACAACTGGCAAACCAGAATACGAAATCTTTTTTAAAGTAAACAGTGGTTTAAATGCATTAAAAAGTAGTAAATTCATTATAAAGTTGTAGAACATGTGCCTTGAATATTAAAAAAAGAAGATTAAAATACATTGTTTACTACAATATCAACCATAAACTACTATAACATTAGACCTAAAATTCATTTTTGACTCAAGTAATGACTTTTAATCAGGTCATTATTCCAAAAACTTCTATAAATGTCACAGTAACCTTTTCTTACTATTATACCACAGTACGCCCTCACTTTAATCATTATATTACAGTAACCCCTCCTTTTTCAGCAACTCCTCCAACTGTACGCAGCCGTCGGGTCTTCACAAGCTACAGGCCCTGAGCACGATGAAGAGGAAGAAGAGGAGGTAGAAGAGCGTCAGAAGTCGCTGTCGTGTATGTTGTCGCCGCCAGTCTCATCAAACGATGAAAGTCGCAACCTCTCAGCAACCTCCTCATCCTCAACATCCAGCTGTCCTGCTCCGGACTGCTCGGAACAGTCACGATCTACAGCCTCGGCCCTTCTCCACATCTCCAACTGCCATCAGGACCAGAGCTACATCGAGTGCAACGACTGTCGCGAGCGATTCCCATCGCTGCGACATCTGAACAGCCACAAATGCGACCGGTCGGATTCAGAAGTCCGCCCCAAAAGTGTACCGTCGACGGAAGGACAGAAGATGGAGGTGGACGAGACACGGTCACAAAGTGTACCAAACATGAGCGACCATTGGCCCCAGATTGGGACCTCGAAAGAGGACCAGCCTCCGGTCCTAATGAACGAGAATTCTGGAGACGAAAAGGCTGAAGAAGCTACGCCTCAGAAGCGGAATCTGTTCGACTTCACGCTCAACGGTCTCATGCCCTTAGGGTTCGACAAATCTGGTGGGTAATCTTGTTTGAAACCTTTTAAAGTGCATTTTAGTCATTTTAATCTTGTTTTAGTCTAATACATTAGTCTACTACAATATACATTAAGGAACACATCAGTTTTGTCATCAGTATACCAAAAGTATCTTAATATTCATAAAACCTCGTAACATTCAATAAAACATATCAATCTGACACAACGTTACTATAACATAATGCATAAAAATGATATGATACCGTATCCCCCGACAGGACATAGCCAATAAAAGACTAAATGAATATTGATAACGACGTTTCAGGTCCCCAGCCCTTCTCTCAGCCCTTCTACGCTCCACAGCTCCCCAACTTCGTACCCCCCTCGGCATCCACCCCTCCCAGGTCGGCGAACCGTGCCGGATCAGCCCAGCCACTGTTGGTGTCGGACGATGACTGGGAGTCGATGATGGAGATCAGCAACATCGACGAGAACGAGAAGATACGACAGTTGGTGGGCGACAAGGCCATGCCCACCACCGACCCCAACCAGTGTCTACTGTGCCGGAGGGTACTGTCTTGTAAAAGTGCTCTACAAATGCACTACCGTACTCATACTGGTGAGTTACTGTAGTAATGTGCTGGTATTAGTTGCATTGGGTTCCCTATAGTTATATTAATCTCTGCTTGGGTTTAATATTACCATGAACGTGTGTCATGGTGGATATTTTACCATGTTAGGCCATATGGCCATTTTAAACAAACATCAATGTAAAGTAATACCATCCTCAACATTTTCAGGCGAACGTCCGTTTAAATGTAAAATATGTCAACGTGCTTTCACGACAAAGGGTAATTTAAAGACTCATATGGGTGTGCACCGTGCTAAGCACGCCGTCCGACCCCCAGGCCAGGCCATTCCCTCACTCAACTTCCAATGTCCCATCTGTCAGAAGCGCTTCTTCTCCACGCAACACCTACAGTCACATGTACAGGAGCACATGAATGGGTAGGTCAACACAATATTCATATATTTTACAGTATACTGACTTACAGTACACTATGTTTCTCAAATCATCTCAAAGGTATCAAATGTTACCTAAAATAACCGTTGTAAACTAACAAGTCATCTTTCAGGGGCCGTGTCCAGAACAGTGCTCCACCGTCCCTGTCCCAGTTCCTGGCCGACCGTTCCTCTAAGCTGTCGAAGCCAGAAGAACGTGAGAACAATATCATGACCAACCCCTTCCTCCAGGCGGCCAACTTCGGCTTCCCTCCCACCAGCTTCCTCAACTTCGGCCTCCCCATGATGCCATTCCCGACCAACCTCAACCACGACTCGTCTCACGATCAACAACGACAATCAGAATCCGTGGGTACCACCTCAGTTGATAACACCATTCCTGAACTAGAAACCCCCCAGAAGTCAAACCAAGAAGAAGAACAGGAAGAGCTTCCCCGGCTAGGCCAGTTCGAATCACAGTCCAGAAGTCAAGAGAATCAATCTCAGAAGTCGTTCACGGAGTTCGAGAGCAAGGAAAAGGAGCAGTCCGTGTCTACTACAATATCACGAGAGAGTTCCCAAGGCCCGTCTTCGGAAACCAAGGGCGAGAAGATGAAGCTAGACCAGGACCCGCTCCAGGCCATGCAAATGATGTACGCTTCGGCCGAACCATCGCCGCCAGTCCGGCCGCCCGTCCACTTGTCCAAACATCAATGTGCTGTCTGCTTCAAGCACTTCAGCTCGTCGTCAGCACTGCAGATTCATATGAGGACACATACTGGTAGGTTATAATTGTAGTAATGTTATATTGTAGTAGATTCGAAAACGAGTTATTTGAATTACAATATTGATTTAGGCGACAAACCCTTCAAGTGCGAGGTCTGTGGTCGAGCCTTCACAACTCGAGGGAACCTGAAGGTTCACATGGGTACTCACTCAGCTCAGATCAGTCCATCCAGAAGAGGACGAAGGATCTTCGACTACGGAACAGAAGCCGTGCTTCGGAATCCATTTGGCCCTTTGGGTATGGGTGCGGGGATGAATCTACCCCAAACGTCACCACTTGGCCTGCCAGTCCTGGCTAGCCTCCAGCCTTTCCTATCGGCCATGGCGGCAGCCAACAACGCGCCTACTGATTCGCCGGTGAATCTGCTACAGATGCTGTCCACGGTATGCACGATCTGCAAGAAGATCTGCGGCTCTATGAACGAGCTCCACGATCATATCCAGAAGGACCACGGAGATAACGACCTGGAGGCGGCTACTGCCTGAACTGGAGCGACTGTGGTACCTCTGCATAGGATGACGATGCTGTAACCGATCCTTTATATTAACATAGTGATGTGAGGTATGAAGCAAGTTCATATTGATACAACAAAGAACGGTAGCACGTCGTCGGAAGGACGTTCTCTTACAAAACGCCAACAAACACCCTTAGGCATCGAATATCTCGATTTACTTTTATCTCCGTAAACGTCTCGGTCTCCGCTTAACTAATCTTAACATACGCTCATCTGTTTAATAAAAGGCATATTACTGTTCTGTTCCACTCCGCGAGTATTGTGCTCAGACCTAAACATCTCCGGTTATATTGTAATCGTCTGACACTGTTATGGTACTCTCCACCATGAAAGCATAACAAATCTTGTTACTATATATTGTCTTACTTAAGTAGTTGGAAAGCTTATCTTAACTATATTTATTATGTATATTGAGTTAAATGAATATATTTCACTTTACATCGGATTATATTGTAGTAGGCGAATGTAATACTTCTAAAAATAAAAGAACTGTTCCAAAATGTTAATTATGATGGTTTTTACAGAAAACAATCCTTTATCAAAGTCAAAGCAACAAGCAAGTAATCGTCACATACAATAATATTACACTAACTTTTCGACCAAGATAATATCCAAAATAACTTTCAAATTGATAAATTTATGAGAAATATGTAAAAGATATCAACATACCAGAAAACAAAAGAATATTCAAAATTTTTATTAAAAGGCGATGCATACAATAATATAAAGGACAATATCGGATTCTATCGCGTCCCATAAATAACTATATTAAACAAGTTCCTGAAAATACATTAAGAATATCAGCATTAGCGCTAAACAATATAGAACAAGCGAGGAGGAAGGAGATTATCACAGTAAACACAATTATATGCCTCCCAGTAGCCTTTCGATCGCCGCCGAGACGTCTCCAAACGTGGCTGTCAACGCTGAAATGGCAGTTACAGTCATATTTACATTAATATTCATTTTTAAAACCAAAAGTTCAAAATTAGTAGCTTGTTTTAGCTTTACAAAACCATAATTCAACATTTTTTCTTACCTCTGATATTGGCCGCTCTATCATTAAAGCCCATAGTCGAGAGTTGCTCCAGCTGGCTTCTGAATCTCTCTTCTGGGGGCTCAGTTGAAGCTCCTGCGTTGTTACCCTAAAAGCAGATTTTTATTAAACTTCTTTAACTAAATAACATTAAATTTTTAAAAAAATGTTCAAAGATATTTTAGGTAACAATATCCTGAGAAATCATCAATTAAAGTAAAAAAAATAAAAATTTAAATTAGAAACATACCGTGAGTCCTAGACCTTGTAATTGACTAAATAAAGCGCCCATATCTTGTGGTGCACCAGGATTGGCTTCAGTACCACCTGCAGCACCAGCCGAAGAAGTAGGAGGAAATCCTAGTCCACCGGACATCTGGCTAAACAACTCGGGAGCTTCAGTCTGAATAACTTGCATCGACTGTTGGATCTGAGACAAGGCTTGCATGACACGAGGGTTGGTCATCGATCTCAACACAGCTGGGTTTGAGGTCTAAACATAATAATATTAACAACAACATCCAATCATTACCAAAATACAGTTTAAAACCAACTCTGCAAAACCTTGTATATTATTGTAGCGTATAACAAAACATACCAGCTGTTGAAACCGAGACATCATTTGTTCCGAGTTCCCCAATCCCATTCCTCTCAACAAATTGGGATTCTGTTGGATGGCACTACCCATTGAAGAAATCATTTCCGGAGTTATCATGTTCTCCAGCCCTCCCAACAGTCCTCCAAGACCACCAGCTCCAGTTGTAGGTGGGGTGTTGACATTGGTAGCTGAAGCACCTCCACCTTGTCGTGGAGTTCCACCAGAAGAGCCCCAGGGGTTTGGCAAGGCTTCGGCGTTCTCTACTCCAGCACGTTGGCTACGGGATGCTAAAACGTCATATCTTTAGACACAGGATGACAGTGCATATAAAACACTATATTCAAATTGATAAAAATAACCTAAAATTTTAAAGCTATAAATGATAATGTCTTTAATACAATGTTTTCAGACAACAAGTCATTACTTACATGTATCGTTGTTGTCAGAGTTGGCTGAATATGGATTTCCTCCCAAAGATCCAACAGTGCTGTTCAACAAAGGAACTTGAACATCTTCGTACAATCTTTGAAGAGCAGCTTCTCCACCGGGGATGCCTTGAAGGTTACGGATAGCTTGATCGTGATTCCTCATCATTTCCTGGAACATTGTTGGGTTTCTGATCATTTCCATGGTTTGACGCATTACTTCAGGGTCGTTCAAGATATGACCCAACTCGGGATTTCTCTAAAACAATATCGTTGGTAACAAAGTCAAACGCGATTAAGAAACTACAAATAAAAGTCCTAAATTTAAAACTATATGATAAAATAAAAAAAAACTCACTTGAATAATCTGTTGAATTTGAGGATTCTCGCTGAACAACGTTCTCATCAGATCGGGGTTACTCAACATTCGCTGCATCATGGGAGAGTTCATCATCTCTCTCATCATGTCAGGATTGCCAGCTAGCGGATTTCTTCCTCCTCCAAGACCTGCAAACGGATTCTGAGCGTTTGGCTGAGGTGGTGCGTTCTGAAATGACATTGATTAACATAAAGTTTCGAAAGCTTTAGTTAAAGTAAAAATACCTAAATAAAAAAGAAAGCAAACTTACAGCTTGAGGTTGAGAAGAAGTAGAACTGGGAGTTGCTCCATTAACAGAGCGGAGAACTAAGTGAACGGCCATCTTATCCTTTATTCCTAGAAAACAAAGAGTTTATAATCCAAACTAATGAAATATTTTTGAAGTTATAAACGTGAATTCAAAAAACTTACCATAGCTAGCGATGGTATCTGGATCCTTCAAGATTTTTCCAGAAAAAATTAACGTCAAACGGTCCTTGGGGTGGTTCAACTTCTCGGAGAGAATCGTTTTCGCCTAAAAACCAATAATTGTAACCAAAATTTCAAAATTACCTGGTCTACAGTCGCGTTTTCAGGCACAGCAATGTCATGAGTTGCTTGCGTGGCTTTAAAAGTTATGGTGATCTCGGGAACTTGCTCATCTTCGCTTTGGTCACCCATTTCGCTCCTAGAACCACGAAAATGTAGCTAAAACAGTGAAAAATAACACCAAAACTGTTAAAAATATAGCGGAAACCGTCAAAAACCTCGTAAATTCTCGAATGTAAAAATGTTTATGATAAAAGAATCGAAAGAGGGTCGAACGAGCCTTATTCGAAGGTAAATGGACAACATTAACCCCCCTCACCGTCACATGTGACGCACCGCAGAACATAGAAAAAATTTGCTAAAAAGACGAAAATTGCCGTTTGAATTCCGCGCGCTTTCTTTGCAGTCCGATGATGTGCAGAAGCTCCAAAACGAAAAAAAAAGAAAATCGGGGGGGGCGGGGCCAGCGGCTCCGAACCATCATCAACCTCCAATAACGGAGGGCCACATTAATGTTTGGGGAGCGTAAAATCACACGACTATTTACATAAAAATAATAACTTGGCCACCTAATGCAATATGGAGATATAAAGCACGTTTTGTTTGTTCCAATTTGGTTTAGCGCTGCTGTTCGTTTCAGCCTTGATCTAGTTTTGTATTCGCGAACTTTCGACGTGTATATTTAGGGTTTTCTCTTTTATATCTTTAGTAACGTGTGTCGTTTAGGTGGTAGGATGTTGAAGGTCTTATTGGCCTTTAGCTTGGCCTTGATTGCCGTCAGTGCCGGCGATGTGGTTACGTTGACCGAATCCAACTTTGACGATATCAGCAAATACGAGGTAGCCTTGGTCAAATTCTACGCCCCATGGTGAGTTGGTTATTTTATGTTTTTGTTGTGTTAGGAGTAGAAATGCTACGATATGTATGTGTTGGAAAAGTCATAAAACGACTGTACAAGCAGCTCAATCTTAGGGCATTGAATATTGCTTTAATTTTTATCTAAAATTATTGTGTAGCCTTAAGTTTAGTATTGTTTTGTTGGGATTTACGTTTTTAACGTTTAAAAGGGAACAATATTATGTTTTAAATTAATTTCTACATTATATGCCTTTTCAACTTTTTTAATCACTTTGTGAAAGATGCCTGGGAAAGCAAAGCTAATTCCGTGTATAAAGACAGCTAAAAGCACGTTTAATGAATTTTAATGAGTTTGTATACAATTAATCAAAATTTTTTGTATTTGGTTGTCTTCGTATAGCAATGTAAATGGTTGAACTTACAAGTGTAGACACGTTGCAAAATATTTATTTTTAGTATATTTAGGTATAAATTTAGGTAACACTTAATGACATAAATTGTTTTTAAGGTTAAAGCAAGTTTAATTAGAGATTATTCATAGTTTAATGAACATCTTCTCTACAATATTTTTACGAGACGTTTAAGAAATACAGGTTAAATAACATTATCACTATAACTGTAAGGTATTTGTTGTTGTGTTTATGAAAAGCAGGAATTGGTTCATGTCTAATATAGAGTTGGTATTTTAAAATTTTGTTATTTTGTAAAGTTATGGACAAATTTTACAAAGCCTTTTGGCTAAACTACTTTAGAAGTAATAGTCTTTGTTTTATATACAGTTAGTTGTCTGTCGCGACATAATTTTTTGTCATATTTTGTAAAAATTTGCATATTGGCAAATTTTTTGGTTTGCTGTGTTAATTTTACATGCTTAATTATTAAAATAGGTATTCTTGTTGCCATTACATTAATGTTTATACAAAATCAGAAAATTTTCTCGATTTTTTACCTATTTTTGCTTTTTTCAAAATCTTTATTTCTTTGAGGATAACGTTAAGGTTGAATTTTAAATGACATGCATTCCTACCATGATTTGGTAAAATTTTTATTTTTTTCAATTTTTAAGACATTTATTTGACGTTTAAAACCTTTTTTTAAACTTATTTGATCATTTTTCAAGTTTCTGTATTTTAGTAGTATTTTTAAAGTTATGGTTAAAAAGTTGTCATTAACTTGGTAAAAACACGATAAAGTTAATTTTTTGAATGAAAAATACCCTTAGATTGGTTTAATTTTATTTTTTATTCTCATTATATTAAAGATAAAATGAATTCAGCTGTTTGAATCTTGATCACACAGCTGAATTCATGTTTTTCTAATCTTATGCTTTATATAGTCTTTAAAACATTTTTTGGTAGTGTGCTTTTGTCGTATCAAATGTCATACTTTTTTATAAAACTAAAACTTTAGTATTCGAACTATAACTTTTTAACGTAAATATTAGTTTTGTCTTTTTTACATTTTTTAATTATGTTTTGACTTTGTTAAAATCATTTAAAGATCTTTCATTGAAAAAGTTGTTGAGTTCAAAGGTTTTTAGGCGTTAAATATTTGTTTTACGTTGTTAAATTAGCATAAGTTGACCATATAGAAGTATTAGTGACTGAACTTACAATTAGATTATTTTTTAAAATTAGGACACATTGAAAAAGCGTATTGGTACTTATAAAACTTTTAACATTAGTTTTTATATTTGCATAGTGTTCTGCTTGTTTGAAGCTTTCTTTGAAGATAAATTTAATTGTTGGTCAACATATAGACTGAACATATTGACTTACTCTTCAACATCAAAGCTTATTTAATATTACATTTAAATTAACTTTATAATTTTAAGGTGCGGTCATTGTAAACGACTTGCTCCTGAATTCGAGAAAGCTGCCACGAAACTGAAGTCCAACGATCCTCCAATCACCTTGATTGATGTTGACTGTGACTCCGAGAAGGACTTGTGCCAACGCTTCAGTGTCCAAGGATACCCAACCTTGAAGGTGTTCAGAAATGGTGCTCTTTCCCAAGAATACGATGGTCCAAGAGACGCTGATGGTATCGCCAAGTACATGAGAGGACAAGCTGGACCTTCCTCAAAGGAACTCACCTCATTGGAAGAGTTCGAGAAGTTTGTCAACGCCGAGGACCAAGGAGTTGTTGGATTCTTCGAAAGCGAATCTAAACTGAAGGATTCCTTCCACAAGGTTGCCGACACCGAACGTGACCGCTTCCGTTTCGCTCACACCAGCAACCCAGAAGTCTTGAAGAAGGCCGGTTTCACTGATGACATCGTTGTCTACGTGCCAAAGAAGTTCCAAAACAAATTCGACCCAACTGAATTCAAGTACGATGGCAATTACGATACTGACAAGATCAAGCACTTCTTGGTTCACGAGACTACTGGTTTGGCTGGCATCAGAACTCCATCCAACGAATATCAATTCCAGAAGTTGCCTTTGGTCACTGTCTTGTACAACCTTGACTACGTTAAGGACCCTAAGGGTAGGTTAATTATTTGGTTGATGATAAATTTTAATCATCGTGAATAACTTTTGAAACTTAGTGAATTCTAATAACTTTTATTTTTAGGATCAAACTACTGGCGCAACCGTGTCTTGAAGGTAGCCACTGACTATAAGAGAAAGGTGTACTTCGCCGTAAGCAACAAGGAGGACTACGCCAATGATATTGAGAAGTTCGGTCTCGGTGACAGAAAGGAATCCGACAAGCCTTTGGTCACCATGCTCACCAAGGATGGTCGCTTTGGTTTGAACGCTGAATTCAGTGTTGATAACCTTCGTCAGTTCGTCGAAGACGTCCTCAACGACAAGCTCGAGCCTTTCGTCAAGTCTGAGCCAGTTCCAACTGAACAAGGTGACGTCAAGGTTGCTGTAGCCAAGAACTTCAAGGCTCTGATTGCTGATGCCGACAAGGATGCTCTCATCGAGTTCTACGCTCCATGGTGTGGCCATTGCAAGTCCTTGGCTCCTAAGTATGAGGAATTGGCTGCCAAGTTGAGCGATGAAGATGTTATTATCGCCAAGATGGACGCTACTGCCAACGACGTTCCACCAGGATACGATGTCAAGGGGTAAGGAGATGACATCCTTGACTTAATACTTATTGTTTTAGATTCCCAACATTGTTCTGGCTGCCAAAGGACACTAAAGTCCCCATCCCGTACAACAATGGACGTGAAGTCAAGGACTTTGTCAAATTCATTGCTGCCCACTCAACCGACGGTCTCAAAGGGTACAACAAGGACGGCAAGAAGAAGAAGAAGACTGAACTTTAAAACCTACAGCTAATCGACATGAACGTGTTAATTTATGTAACAATTATTTATTGAGGTATTATATTACAGGTTGTTATGTTTTCATTGCCTTTAAATATTTGGTTAATTTAATAAATTATTATAATAGGAGTATTCGGATGTTGGGGGTTTTTTGGATCTTCTAGAAGTGGGTAGTGACACAAGTTTAGGGTAAAATCAAGTTAAAGCAAACGCACGTAAAACAACGGTAGACACGGTATCTTGGGGGTTATCCTCTGTTCGGTGAGACAGTTTGCAAATATCGATTGGTTGGTTAGTCGCTTTATTTTTTTTATAACTCGGTTGTCTCTTGGAATCTCGATGCCGTTGCATAATTAATGTGATTCTACCTTAAGTTAAAAGTAGCATGATGTTTTTGTGTGCAGATATTATAATTTAACATTATAATTACCACCATTTCAAGCGTTATATACGTATTATCTTGTCCATCCCACCAAAAAATTTCTCGAAATTTTTTTTATTTTGCGCCGTTGAAAAGTTTATTTAAATTATTAAATGACTTGTTTGGTCTATGTATAAGTACTTTATTTCATTTTAAGACTACACATCCATCAGATTGTAAACTTCAGGCTTCCCAAGTAATGGCTTCAGATGAAGGAGAAACTAGTCAATCAAGCAGTTCGGATTCAGAATCTGAAGACAAACAATCCAGTGAGTCTGGAAATGATCAAGTAGAAGGTAAATATACATTCAAAAGCAATAAATGTGTTTTAGCTTCACCTTCACAAACCACCAGCGACGAAGAAGAGGTGGAAGAAGAGGAAGAAGAATCTGAAGACGAGGAACCTAAGAAAAAACAAAATAGACGTTCTAAAATAGATGTAGCTACACTTAATGTGAGTTTGTACACAAACTTATTTAATTTATTATCCTTTCAGTTATTAAAAGAAGAAAACCTTGTTAGAAGGTCGAGTAGAAAGCGAAAAATAGAAGAAGATTCAGAAGAAGAATCGCCTCGGCCGTCACGGGGGAAGCGGAAAAAGTAAGTGATTTTCCTTATTATTATTTTGTCTTTAGGAAAGGTTCGTCTTCGGAATCTGGCAACTCCTCGTCTTCATCCGAGTCAGAGGAAGATTATGAAGAAAGTCCGAGGAAAAAGCGAAAACCCGCCAAAAAGGTTGCCAAAGGGAAAGCCCCTGCCCGGCGATCGAAAGCCAAATCAGTCAAAGTGAATTACCAAGAAGAATCTTCAGAATCCGAGGACTACAATACAGATGAGGTCTTGGAATGGGATGAAGGCAGAGCTAGTGTTTCCCCAGAAGAGAATCAGTCAGAAGTCGTCGAAAGAGTTCTAAAACATCGCTACGGTTTACAAAATGCTATAGGATCGAATACCACGGATTATAACGTTCAGGTACAAGGAGATCCGAACGCCAAAGTCGACGAAGTGCCATTTGAAGAAAGAGAGTTACAGTTTCTGATCAAATGGCAAGGATGGTCACATTGGCACAATACCTGGGAATCCTCTAAAAGTTTAGCAGCTAGTGGAGCTAAAGGGTCTAAGAAGATAGACAACTACATAAAGAAGATGCAGGAGATTGAGTTGTGGTGAGTTTGCACTATATTTTCATTCATTCATTAGTTTTTTGAAAATTAGGTACCTTTACAATTACACAGTTTACTTTTCAGGTTATTAAAATGTATAGGAAATCATATAAATTGGTACAATATTATCAAATATAAGATTCACATAAAGATAAATATTAAAGTCTTAATATTACTTATTTTTCAGGAAAAGAAGTGCAGACAAAGAATACATTGAGGTATACGATTGTGAACAAGAAATGAATGAAGAGTTGTACGAGCAGTACAAGATAGTGGAGCGAGTGATTGGACACCAAGTGTCCCGAGATAAGAATGCTGATGGAGAGAGGCAGTACGAGTATTTTGTCAAATGGAGTTGTCTGTCATACGGAGATTGCACATGGGAAGACGAGACCTTGATCCGAAGACAATACTCTAATAAGATCGACGAATACAACAGGAGGACAGAAGCCAACACAGTACCTCATAGGAGTCAGCATGTAAGTTGGTGTTGGTTGACTTTTTCTCTAGGATAAACTGCTTATTATGATTTTTGATTAACTGATGCTGATCATCTTACAACGGAAGTAAAAGACGGTAGTAATTAACTAGTGGCAGCTTATATAAATTATGATATTGTAATTAATTGTGTCGTTTTAGTATCGCAAACGACCAAAGTTTGAAAAGCTGGAAACAATGCCAGATTACCTAAAACAGAAGAAAAACCCAGAGATGGAGCTGAGAGATTACCAACTGCAAGGTCTGAACTGGCTGTTGCATGCTTGGTCTAAAGAGAACAGTTGTATCTTGGCTGATGAGATGGGATTGGGTAAAACCATTCAGTCTATCAGTTTCGTGTCTTCTCTCTTCCATCTACATCAGATTTATGGTCCCTTCTTGGTGGTGGTACCCTTGTCAACGATGGCCGCTTGGCAAAGGGAATTCGAAGCATGGGCTTCTGATGTCAATGTTGTTACTTATGTTGGGGACGTTACTTCGAGAGAACAGGTATGGATGTTTAGTTCATCGGTGCATATAACGTTTTTTATTAATGAACTAGGTTTTTGATGACTTCTTTTTTTCGTAATATTAATATAAACATTATGAAGACTTTGTTGATGAAGTGAATTACAGATCCGACAATATGAGTTGTACCAGCAAGGAACAAAGAAGCTTCGAGTCAATGTCTTCCTCACTACTTACGAGATTCTACTTAAAGACAAGGCTTTCTTAGGTACCTTCGACTGGCAAGCGTTGTTGGTTGATGAAGCTCATCGACTGAAGAACGACGAATCATTGTTGTATCAATGTCTGAAGAACTTCCACACAGCTCATCGTGTCTTAATCACAGGAACACCACTCCAGAATTCCCTTAAAGAGCTCTGGGCGTTGTTACACTTTATCATGCCTGAACAGTAAGTTTTTACTTTGTCATATAAGTACGTTTTCGTTTTTTCATGCCAGATGAGTAAGTTATTTCATTTTTACGTTCATTTTTTAGATTCTCAAATTGGGACGAGTTCGACGCTGCTCATCAGGACCGAGATCACAAAGGCATCTCATCTCTGCACAAGAAACTGGAGCCTTTCCTGATTCGGAGGGTGAAGAAGGATGTGGAGAAGTCATTGCCGGCCAAAGTCGAACAGATCTTACGTGTTGACATGACAGCTCAACAGAAGCAGTTCTACAAGTGGATTCTGACCAGGAACTACGAAGAGTTGAGTAAAGGTGTGAAAGGGTCCATCAACGGTTTTGTCAATGTTGTTATGGAGCTAAAGAAGTGTTGTAACCATTCATCGCTAGTCAGGCAGTACGACAATGTTGAATATGAAGCACAGAGACGACTTCAGGTAGGTATTGAGACATTTTTTGTTATAAATGTTTTACAAAGTATTTTAATTCAGAATTTATATCTAAAAACATTAAAATTGTATTTCTAATCATACTTTTGTAGCAATTGCTCAAGTCATCTGGAAAACTGATTCTTCTGGATAAACTTCTAGTCCGTCTGAAGGAAACTGGTCATAGAGTTTTGATATTCTCTCAGATGGTGATGATGTTGGACATTCTACAAGAGTACATGTCTCTTCGAAGATTCGCAACTCAACGACTTGATGGGTCTATGAGGTCTGATCTCAGGAAGCAAGCTCTTGATCACTTTAATGCAGAAGGCTCAAACGACTTCTGCTTTTTGTTATCTACCAGAGCTGGAGGATTAGGTATCAACTTGGCTACGGCAGATACCGTGATCATCTTTGACTCCGATTGGAATCCCCAAAACGATCTTCAGGCCATGAGTAGGGCTCACAGAATCGGACAGAAGAAACAGGTAAGCAGTTGTAATTTATTTTTTTATTAACCAGGTACTATGTTTTATCCATTTCCTGATCATGTTATTAAGCTTGTATTTATAGGTGAACATCTACCGGTTGGTAACCAAGAACTCAGTGGAAGAGAACATTGTCGAAAGAGCTAAACAAAAGTTGGTACTTGATCACTTGGTCATTCAGAGGATGGATACTACTGGTAAAACAGTGCTCTCGAAGTCGGCTGTCACAAACTCAAAGATTCCATTCGACAAAAATGATCTGAATGCCATTCTCAAGTTTGGGGCAGAAGAACTGTTCAGAGAGAAAGAAGGTGAAGAACAGGAACTCGAAGTCGACATTGATGACATTTTGAGTGGAGCTGAAACCCGAGAATGCGACAATGTCGTAAGTTTTCCTTAATTATTCTTTTTTTATCTTTGAATTTTGAAAGTGATTTTAAATGTTGTAGGAAACCGGTAACGAACTTCTGAATTCGTTCAAATACACCAACTTTATCCTCGACGAAGAAAAGGATTTGGCCATGTTGAACACGGAAAAACGAAGGTTAACCCAAACTGGCATGACTGAAGCTGAAAACAAGTCCTGGGACGACATCATCCCCAAGGACAAGATTGAAGAGATCAAGAACGAAGAACTTCTACAACAAGAAGCCCTTCTGAATCTCGGTCCAAGACAGAGAAACAAAGTGAATGGAGATGACACAACACACATCTCAGACGACGAGAAGAGGAAAAAGAAGAAGAAGGGGAGGAAGTCCAAGAATGCTGTGTCAGATTCAGACAGTTCAGGGTCGGATTCAGAAGGCGGAGGCAAACGACGCAATGGCAAGAAGAAGGTTTTGTTCAATTTCACAGAGAAAGAGATCAGGAGGTTCATGAAGAGCTACAAGAAGTTCTCCTTTCCCATGGAAAGACTGGACTCCATTGCTCAAGATGCCGAACTCGAAGACAGAAGCACCACCGAGCTTTTAGAACTGGCAGAAGAGATTAAGAATAGGTGTACGATAGCCACGGAGAGCTACTCAGTTGAATCGAAACCAGAAGAAGAGGGTGGAGATGGTGGCAGGCGGAAACATGTAGGTTCACTATTTGATTTTAATTTTAGACTAAGATTATTGTGATAGGCTGGTCGTCAAGCTGAATGTAAATCTTTAAAAATAAAATTTGGTTTTTCAGGACCGTGGCCCTACCTTTAAAATTGGTAATCTTGACGTCTACGTTAGGCCGTTACTTAAAGCTCAACAAGACCTGGAACCTCTACATGAACTGGTCAAAAAGTACGGAGCCGCTCTGAAGGGATTCACATTACCCAGCAAAGTAAAAGACCAAAACGGCTGGGATATGGTGTGGACGGAAGAAGATGACGTAGCCTTACTGAAGGGTATCTACAAGTACGGTTACGGTAGCTGGGAGTCAATCAAAATGGATCCCGACCTTGGGTTAGCCGACAAAATCCAAGTCAAAGACAAAACCAAGAAACCACAGCCCAAACATCTACAGACGAGGGTGGACTACGTAGTACGGTGTATAAACAAGATGAACGGAAAGGCAAAGAGGAAAGCTCCAAAAACACCCAAGACGCCGAAGACGACCGTCAAGAAGACGATAGTGAAGAAGGTGAAGACGAAACGAGAAGAAAAGACTCCAGGACGGAGGGATGACAAGAAGGAGAAGCGGGAGGACGACCATAAGGTGAGGACTGTAGCTTTTTTCTTATGTTCAAATCATTGATGGTAAAAGTTGTTTTTAAAATTGATTTTTCCTTAAAAATTTACATATTGTTTTAGGACGATAAATTCCGCCAATCGCTGGGTATCAGATTCAATATCGAAAAGTACGGAAGTGCTCTTTCGGACAAAACCGCCGAGCCATTCCAGAAAGTGGTGGAAGCGTTCAGGCCGATGATTAAGTACATCAAACGATTAGTCAGCCCTGAAACCGACTTTGAACACGAAGGAGTGAAGGCCCTGGTCAAGGTTGGAGACTTCATCGTCGATTTCATCAAGAACAAGAAGTAGGTTTACACTTTCAAATTTCAAAGTCTCGAAAAATATCTCAAAAATATCGAGAAGTGAGATTACATTCTCACTGCTTCAGGAGCTCGTCGTGGACGACTGACCGCTGGTTCAACCTGATGTGGATCTTCGTCTCCTCCTTCTTCAACCCGGCCAAAGACCCCAAGTCCTTGTTTGATCTGTACATAAAGCACGGTCAGTCGCGTGACCACAAACACACCAGTAAGCACAACTCCTCCTCCGCCCACAACCTCAACAGTAGCAGCGTCAAATCGGGTAGCCATCGACACGATAAGCATCACAGTCGACACCATCATCATCACTCCTCCGACACCCCCGGTCGCCGGCCCGGAACAATATCATTACATAACAAGAAATAGACTTATATATATGGGTGACTTGTTGATTACATTTATACTATCTTATACCTGTTCATTTTGTTGTTTTCATGGTTATCTTTGTTTGTTATGTGGATTGGTCCGGCCTTCACTATCTGTCCCTTCAGTAACTTGTATTCATTTATTGAAATAAAACTCAAGGCTACTTCTCAGCTTTATTACTGTACTGGAGCGAGTACTTGAGGTAGTCGTTGGGGTTAGTGATGGTGCAGCCCAGCTGGCCGGGGTTCAGTTTGTGGGAGCTTTCAAAGTATTTTGTACACGCAAGGTCGTAGCGATGCTCGTTTTTTAGGCTTATAATCTACAATTTTTGGTGTAAAAACGGTTGTTTGGGGTTATAAGATAACCTTTTTCACATATTCGTATTCTAACCTACAAAACGATAGCCTACCTGTTCCTTAACGCTCTCGGAGACTCGTAGTCGATCCAACTTCTTGGCCAAACCATCCTCGTCCAAATACTTGTATGGGCAGCCATGGCAAACATCTTTACTGACAGCCGGCCCCTTGATTATGGCTTCACAGTTGTAAGGCCTCTTGGCATGTTTACTTCCGATCAAACCGTAGATGTGCTTGATGCTGTACTCGAATTCTTTGAACTAAAACAATGTTTATATAATAACGTTACAATGGGTAACATTTCAACAGAAATATGTATGAAATATAAGTTGTTCTTACCTTTGACGAGTTGGTATCACAGAATGTCCTGAAGAAGGCAAGGGAGTCTTCCACACTCAAGCCGGTTCCTTTTATGAACAGTGAGTATTGTAGACGACCTTGATGCTTCAAACCCTTATTTAATTTCATGAACTCGTGCATATCTCTCATACACAAGGGGAAAGATGTGTATGCCAACTGGAACTACATTAGTTTAAAACACACGATTGGTTTTTAAAAGTCAAAATTTGATACCTAAATATTGAAGTAAACACGAAGTTATAGAAGGTCGAACTAACCGAATTGATTTGTTGCCACTGAATTTGAGCGCCTTCAATTTCAGTACCTACAGCTGCTTCTGGGTATAAATGCTTGTACATCTTGGGCACGATCCAATCTTCACTTTCTGGATCCTTCATTTTTCGTATCTGATTCTAAAACATCATTTATGAAACCAATATCTACGATATTAAAAATTAAAAACAATAATATTATACTTAAAGCTTACCGCCATCGATTGGTTAAGCATGATCCTAAACTTTTGTACTATTCCATTAGCCAGATCGTCATTAGTAACATAGCAGAACCCTCCCTTAAGTAAGGCTTTCCTTTGTGCCACCAAATCTCTACAATCCGTAAAGTAAACCTTGTACAATGTAGAATGACCTTCTGGAAAGCCAGATTGAGCTAGTTCATATTGTAGTTCCTCTATCTCTTCAGCTGAACACTCCACTGGAGGTACTCGACAAGAAGAGAAGTACTCTTCTTTCAGGGATTCGATGCCATTGTTTTGGATTCGAACTCTTAACAAAGCACATTCTTGATCAGCAAACCATTTCTGTTTCCCTGAGTCCGTACAACAAACCAATCTGAGCAAGAAGTGGGACAACAGGTCTCGCCTACGGTAATATTCAAGCTTCTTGGAGTTGGCATCGTTGAAATACAAAGGCTGGATATTCACAATCGCCTGAAACACCAAGTTTAAATATTATTCAAGTTGTAAGAACAAAAAACTAACATTATTTCAACTTAAAAATATAAAACAAGCTTCAGAGCCTTACTCGTTTAAAAGCTTCCATGAACTCAGGACTCAAGAACTTCTCTTTGTTCTTCACCTGCTCCAATATGTTCAATACTTGAAACCTTTCTTGTAACACATCATACAGTTCATTCTGGTCAAGTTCCATGCTCGGAGGATCACGATAAAACTCTAATTTGTTCGTCTAAACATAAAACAACATGACATCAAGGACTTACTGTTTTAAACTGTGAAATTGAAGTAGAATGAGAAGATGGCGTGCCGAACATCATCGTGAATAGTTTGTTAGTTGATTAAAATACAGTTGGCAAGTAAAATTATATCCAAAAATTGTAAAATATTTCTATTTTTTTATTATTTTGAAAATCTTTTTGGCGCCGGAATGTTTTCGTTGCGGGAGTAAATATAAAAAGTGCTGGCAAGACAAAATTGTGTAAATTATATTTTTAGGTTCAGAAAACCTATAATTATGATAAGGATACCTAAATTGTTAATTTTTCGAGAGTAATCGAAGCTTTTAATGATGTTACCATTGCTGCTTGTTTCATGTTTGTAATATTTGTTTGCTCTGCCAAAAACAGATACCCGCTGGTGGTTGTTGTAGGCGGAATGTATGCAAGTGAGTAAATACAGCTTCACAAGTGGTGGAACAGTTGTTTATAACAAGCCGGGCGTTGAACGACGGCACAGTCGGGCGTCGCGTCGCTGAATCTCCACGCCCATTTCTCGAACAAAAAAGGCTGACGGAAGAGAATCCGTTTGTCGAGATTTTGGTCGACGCCGCCGTTTTCTCGCCGAAATCAGTGCTTTCTGTATTACCCCTCCGGGCATTATCTCGACGAAAGCCCTCTGGGGCTGTTCACTTTTTGCCTCCGGCATTCGCACTGATAACCGGTTGTCTCGATTACCTAGCTCGGCCCAGCGCCCGCCCCTTCGAGAGCCGTCAACGAGCGGCTCCATGCCTCAGGGCAAATGAACGTAAGTTGGGGTGGATTAACACAAGTTGGTACTTTTAATGGTACTGGTTGTTTGGGGATGTTGTTGTAGATGTCTAGCACCGTTTAGTGGTAGATGGAGGTTTTAATTAAGTTACTGCCGCGATTCAGGTCATTTGCTGTGAAATTAACTCAAATCTGGTTTGGCGAAAACAAGAAAGGCAAGATATTATCCTTCAACAGGTTTATCTCTCTGGTTTACGAAGCTATCAGCGCGCAAAAACAACTGTAAACTTAATTACAACATGACGCTTTCACAGTAAAATTACTATCACTGATATCACAATGTTATCATAGCTTTACCCTTCAGCTACAGACCTAAACTAACATGATATAAGGTTAAATTACAGAACATTCATCTCTGTGTCTCTCAAAATGGATCAGCTCAGTCGATTCAGCAGTCCCAAGTAGCCGGGCCGTCTTGTATTCAGCGTCAGAGCAATGGTAACAGGGACAATGTGCTACAGTTTGACAACTACAACTTCCAATATGACAACGAACAATACCTCCACGCTCAGCCTCAGGCCTACAACAACAACATGGACATGATTCATTCTCAACATTTGAGTCGGCTGCATTCTTACAGTCAGGTAACATCATTTATATTGTCATAGGTAGTAGTATTCACTTTTTTTCTATTTTTAATAGTTTTTACCTAATTAATGCTACCTTATGGATAATATGGTGTCTTTGGGTGAATACTTATCTTAAATCAAAGTGTCACATTAAATTTGGTTTTGATACTTTGAGTAGGACTGGTTTTTGTACTCTATGACCATTTTAATAGTATGATCGCCTTCAGAACGAAAACAACTACTTAAATACCTCAGGGCATCCGAACGAATGTCGTTTTGTACAGTTGAGTCAGCATCAGTTTAATCATATCAGCTCAAGCTTTCCATTTCCTTTAAAGCACGAAAATGACACAGTAAGTTACCGTATACCTTAATATACAATTACACCAGGAACCCTCATCCGACGAGAGCAACATCAGCGAACATCAGAATGGCGTTATACGGAAAGGTAAGACTGATAGTATTTTAGCTTATCATATGTTACTCAATTGCCTTACTTACACCCCTCTTCCCCCTGGGCTCTAGAGCTTTACCACCCATTAACTCTATCATATTAATGTAAACTTTGATATTACAGTAGAGCGAGCCAGGTCGATGAAGAGTTTCCTCCCCACCGCCATCTCCATGATCGACCCCCAACTGAGCTGTCTGATCCAACAAGCAGATGAAGCTGGCCTTCTGAATCCGATGGCAACATTCTGTTCCGTGCCCGGCCGCCTCAGTTTGTTAAGTAGTGCTGCCAAATACAAGGTTACAGTAGGCGAGATCCAACGTCGAATAAACCCTCCAGAATCCTTGAATGCTTCGGTTTTGGGCGGGATTCTAAGGAGGGCCAAGTCGAAGGACGGAGGGAAATCGTTGCGGGACCAGCTGAAGGTGGTTGGACTGACACTGCCAGCGGGCAGGAGGAAAGCTTCTAATGTGAATTCATTGACAGCGTTGGTTGAATGTAAGTTATGTTTTGAGAAACTTTGAAACCTTAAAGAGTGTTTTAAAATTTAATTTTTTCAATTTTATAATGAGAATTTCAAAAAAAACTTAAAATTTTTTAAAAATTTAAAAATTAGGTAATAAATTTAGATGAAGCGAATCAATTGGCAATTGACTTTGACAAATTGTGTGAAAATGAATTTCCATCGAAACAAATGGCAGAATTCGTGATGAAGACACGATGCCGAGAGGATTCAGCCAAGGAACAAAGGAAGAACATGGTCATGATGGCAAAGTAAGTCTACGTTTACTCGAAAGCTTATATTGCCTAAAAACTAAAAATCTACTAAAACAATATATTCTAATATACAACTTGTTACTCGAACAGTAATTTACTTTACAACTAAATAAATAAAATATAAGATGTTATTGTTAATAATATTACCATTAACAAGAACATCTTATTCTAAAAAAGATAATATAACATTAACATAATAAACTTCAGACAACTAGTGCAAGAGTTCAACAACATTTTGAGTTTGGATGGAAGTCCCAGCTGCAACAATCCGCCTCGACAAACTCTAGATCCAGCCATTCAAGGACCACTCACCCACTTTTCTCTGGTCAGTTTGGTACACTTTCTTTTTAAAATCAATTTTAGATCAAAGTTTCTTTTTAAAATGATCAATTTTTCATAATCCAAACATTTGAAACTGAAAACGTTCCCAATTCAGGTTACTCATGGGTTTGGTGGGTCAGCAGTGCAGTCTAGCCTGAACGCCTTCAGCAACTACCTGAACGAGTTGGTGAGGCTGATAGAAGCCAAGTAGATAGATGTGTTATGTACAAAACAGAATTCTATTGTTATTAAGTTTATTGCATAAAATACAATTACACACATATTACGATTACGGTCGTATTCATAGGTACAGTATGTCAAGAGCAGTTATCTTATCTTGATATTACTATATATAATCATATTTTTAGGTAATATTTTTGTCAAAAGTTGTTTTCTGTTTCTAAAATGTTTTCATGCTTCCGTACTTCGGCAAAAAAAGTTTTGAAGTATATTATCCATGATGACAAAACTATTTAAACCTATCATACCTACAATACGACCATGTAATAACTATTGGAATGTTACGTCCCGGAATGTGGGGTTAGTTGCTGTCAGTGACCAGAAGTTCGGGTACCGTGAGCTCTTCTGTAGCCGATTCCAGATCGAATTTGCGTTTCCGGCATTTGACCAGATTCCAGTCTGGACTAGGCACCAGGCCCTCCTCTATTTCGGCGTTCAGATCTTCGATTATATCGCATAATATTGTACATAACGAGTTTATTCCCAGTAGGTATCCCTCGTCCATCCCTTCGTAGACCTTGTCTTCTAGGAAGCCGGGGAAGGTGGAGTGGGCAAAGTCGATCATGCTTACTACAACATCAGATGAGGCTGTGGGACTGTCGTCAAAGGCTATTAACAGGGAGGAGGAGAAGAAACGGTAGCCTTCTGAAGAGCTCATCACTTTGGACAGCTCCAGCAGCCTCTCGAGGAACTTCTTTGACCTCTGGGTGCCAGAAGATCTGGAAAAGATGGATAATATCATGATAACTTACATAAGATAAAAGATACTGTGGTAACGCCTAAACTTAAAAATATATAAATAACGATATAACGCAACCGTTTGTATTATCCTACCGAAAGAAGACGGTCAAAGCAGAGATAAACTGCAGCCGATCCATCCTGCGCCCTTCGTACTTGTTAACATAGACATAGGACTTTGTTCGTCGATCGTACAACTGCATCCCCACCATTCTGACGCCCATCTCCTCGCTCGTCGACTGTCGACACTTCTGATGCTGACTCAGTCGCTTCTGTGCTGAAGCATCGTCACCGTACTGTCGAGTACCCATTTTGAGATCTATCACACAAGGCTTCGCGAACGCTGATACCATGTCTTCTATCACAATAAACCACTTGTCGTATCCGTTAAAAAGCTTTTGTACAACCTGCAATGTTATACTAGGTAATAATGTCAATACAGTCTTTAATTAAAAGTTCAAGTTACAGTAGTAAAGAAAAACATCATTTTTTGTGAAAGAGTTACAAATTTCAATCAAAAATTTAAATTTTAAACTTTTTTTCAAAATGAGCTTACCTTGCTCTGACATTGCCCTGCCCATGCATTAGTGACACTTTCTGCCTCCACCCTCTTATTACGCAATCGAAATGTCATCTTCTTCTCATCGTTCACGTTGGAATCCTCAGTACTAGTACTGGTAGAAACTTCGTCGTTATCACAAACACACAGCGTATTCTTGGGCGAATGACATTGTATCGTCTGATCCGTACTCATATACACAGTACCATCCTGAGACGTGCTCAAATTGACTCGTACTCGACCTAAACACCAACATCGTACTATCCTCTTCGTACTTACCACAAAACTTTGGAGTAAAAGACTGGAGGTTGGGTGTGATTTGTTGGTAGAAGGAGTATTCACGTTGATTCAAAGGCTTACACACATGACCCGAACATGTTAAGAGACCGAAGTGACCACCGACTTGGTGAGGGAAACCGGTTACATCCATAAAACTGTACAATCTGAAGATGATGATCAATATTTAGTAGGAATTAGTACAAAAATATTCGTATTGTGATGAATAATGTCACGATAAACACATTTCTATTAATTGGGAGCTCAAAATAAAGTAAATAAGAATTTAAAAATTTGTTTAAATCCTTTAAATTTTCAAAATTTTTCCAATATTATCACCTTCCTTGAGCAAAGCCTTTCTCCTTATCCCTTATATCCCAAAGTATCACCCACTATAGTACTGTCCATGTTTTTACACTGTAAAAAGACAGGCAATTAATAAAATTAAGCCCTCACGCTCACGAATTGGATGGATAAACATAGACGGAGGGGAGAGGTGCTCTCTTTAAAAGTAAAAAGAAAAAGGGCCAGACGGCCTAGACTGGATGCCGACGAAGAGGGAGCAAAGAAAATGCCCAGCGGCATCGGCCTCCAAAACCCTTTTGTTTTCGTTTTAAATTCTTTTCCAAAATTTTAAATTTAAATCTTTTAAATTTTTTTATATTTTTTCAAAAAATTTAAATTTAATTACCTAAATTTACATGTTCTATATAAAATTCATTTTTCAATTTCAGAATGGGCACCTTAAGATCGTCCCAACTAGAAGTCCTAGTACAAGGTCATTGGTACTGGGTGTCGGCTTCATTAGATGAGACTAGTCTCACGTTGAAGACTTTAGACCCAGAATCCGACCCTAACACCTCAAATCGACCAGCTACTGGGGTTGAGAATGAAATGAGATTCGTGAGGATTCAGAAGACTGACGGTAATGGACTTGGAATCAGTATCACAGGCGGAGCTGAGAATGGCAGACCTATTGTGATAAGGTGAGATTTCAATAGCGCAATAACTTTCAACGTATTTTATATTTGAAAAGGTTGTAGAATTCCCTAGTTACACAAAAATAAGAATAAAAGCATTACAACCTAAGTACTGTCCCATAAAAACTAACCATAACATAGTGAATACAATGTACAAAGACCATGAAAACTATAGTAATGTAAAAACAACTGTTATCACAACTTGTTTTCAGTAAAATCTTCCCGGGAATGGCAGCCGACTTAACAGGTCAACTATTTGTAGGAGATGCAATCTTATCAGTGAATGGCGAGTCACTCGTCAATTCCAAACATGACGAAGCCGCTCGAGCTTTGAAGAGAGCTGGGAAGGTGGTGGATCTACAAGGTAACTTGAGTATCTTAATATAGCCTTTAGAAGCTGAAAACTTTAGAAGCTGATTATGTCAGGTTATGTCCTTTTCTAACTAGACTAGCTGCCTTGTTAAGTGCAATATTGTTAGAGCTATTACTTTTATAAAATGAAGTAACACGTAACGTAAATTGAAGATTGAATGTAACAACCTTTTTCAGTAAAATATGCCAAAGATACGTATCATCCGGAGAACTTTCTGGACATAATCGAATGGGACAATGACATGACCTTACACCGACCTCAGATGCGACGATTTAACCTCAAACTCTCGTTTGTCACACGGTAAGCTCAAATATTATGATAACATTGAAATTTAGGCAACAAGTGATTACCGTAACTTTCAAAATAGTATTCATCGCAATACTATACTAATAAGTAAAGTAACACAAACTTAAAACATTACTATGGAACTGCTTATAAAACATTAAATATAATATAAACACCCTTTCGACCGATTTCTAACCCCACACCTCTTGTTTAGAACCAGCCTAGATAGAGAAGATATAGAGAATCGAACATTCGAAATAAGATCTCACAGTGCACATTACGTACTCACACTCAGATGCATGAATGCTATGGAAGCGGACTCCTGGTTTGAAAGTGTTCATGTCTGTGTAGATGCTCTTCTGACACAATCTCTAGCCCAAGTCAACCTAATATTGGGCCAAAACCCACAAGTTAGGAAGATGGGATGGCTAGCTGAACAGGTAAACAAACAAAACATTACATTAGGATGAGTCAGAGTACCAAATTATTAAAGATTAATTAAGCATAACCTAATTACTGACAACATGACTACATGAAACCTCAAACATAACCATTAATTCCAGACCGTCCAAGACGGAATCCTAGTCTGGAATCCCGTGTTCGCGGCGCTGACACTGAACGACCTCCTCCTTTATGACTCGGTACCTGCTATCAAACAAGAATGGGCCACCCCCACCACCACCCGCCCTCTCATTGCCACGAGAGTAGTACAAACAACTGCCCGCACCTATCCCGTAATAAGTGGCCTATCAGATGTCATCAGTTTCACCATTCGCACGGGTACTCAAGATGGAATCCGCTCCAATCTGCTTCGAGTCGAAACACATCGCGAGCTCTCGGCCTGGGTCAAGTCTATCATCCACTGCACGTACGAGGCCTGTACCGACACGGCGCAGGTTACAGCACGTGAGTTTTTTACAGTTACATTAGTCAAGCCATATTAAAAGTACCCTTTTCTATTGAAAATCCAATGAAATGACCAAGATAGTTTTTAAGAGTATATGACACTTTTAAAGCAACATCACTTTCAGCATGTATCTGGCAAGACCAAGAATGTCAGCTAGTAATCGACCTAGAGAAAGGAGTGGCCCTGAACAACAAAGTAGGCAGTGAACTCCTATGGCAACATCCATTTGAGTCCATTCGAGCTACAGGAGATGACGGTCGTCAATTCCTGTGGATAGACTTTGGCCCACCAACTGGCGAACAAGAACTCGACCTTCTCGGATCCCCCAAGGCCGTCGTCTTCATCTTACATTCCTTCCTCGCCACGAAAGTGTACCAATTGGGACTATACGCTTAAAAATACAAAGGACATCGACCTTTTGATCTGATTATATTATAGTAGAAGAAAATTCCAACGAGAAGTATAATAATAATAAGAATAAAGTTTTATTGACAACAAAAAACAAGTAACAACATTATCAAAACAAGCCTAACCAAGCTTAGGAGCTCCATAAGCGTCAGGCATTCTCTCAATTGTGTAGCGATGATTCTTGATGTACATAATGGGTACTCCAGGCAGCTTTCTGATTCTCATTCTCAAGTCTTTATCACACGTTGCAACAATGTAACACTTGTGCTAAAATAAGAAAATATTTGATTAAGATTGCTTTTAAATGCAAAATTAAAAAAAAATATATATACTACATAAAGCTACTACTTGAAAAAGTTTTGATTAAAAAATATTCCCTTAAGCCTTACTTGAGTAACTCTTTGAACAAGACAGTCATCTGCGTATGTGCCTTTGTGAGTGCATTGTAATCGTTGAAACCGGCTGTCTTTAATAATCTTCAAAGCCAACCTGAATTTCCTTCCCATCTTTTCCAATTCTCCCATAACACAGTCAGTAATGTATGGTATGGCTAAAACAAATTCGTTATATCCCTTTCAATCATTTCAAACAACGACAAGAACTTTTTAAGGTAAACTATTGTTGATCTTGCAAAAACTTACTTTTAGCGAACAAACAATCCATGAATCCCTGCATCATGTCCAACTTGTTTTGAATGGAAAAATTGACAAAATTTGTATCGACCAATACGTGAAATGGGGGACCCAACTGACTGTTATACTTCAAGAACATTGCGGATGAAATTCGTGGCCTTAATCTCAATTTAGGTAACAAATTATCGAACCTACGCTTGTGTCAATTTGAAATCATGTTCGTTCTCCTTCTTCTTCTTGATTACACGACTCTCGGCTTTTCTAAACATAAAATATATCAAATCAGAATCAAACTTACATTCTTTCATCTGTTTGCTTGAGAACGGCCTTCTGTTTCGACAACTTTTGCTTGAATTTCTTGTCTGCCTTTACTCTACCCTAAAAAATACAAATTAGGACATTACTTTGGCGTAAAATACTTACCATTTTGTTTTAACAGGATTTATCTAAAATTTGTTTAGATATTTTCGCAAATTCCTCAAAAAAATTAAAAAGTCAATAGTGAAAGTGACGGAATGTCAATATTGAATAAAACAAATAAATACAATTTTTTGTAAATTACGTTTTTTACATTTTTTTGTACAAAGAATGTCGGGTAAAGCTACTACGAGCGATGAATTACTTCAGAGTTTATTCAACGATATTCAAAAAACTGGGCCGGTAAGTTGTCATTACTTATTGCCTTACTTGTTTAGGTTAATGTTGTTGAACTATTAAACGATGAAACAATAATCCATAAGAAGAAGGAGAAGAAAGCTAAAAAGGAAAAAGATGGAGAAGATGACAGTAAGAAACACAAGAAGAAGGACAAAGACAAAAAGAAAAGCAAAAATAAGGATATTGAGGATGAGATGGAGCACAAGAAGGTAAGGTTGTAATGTTTTGGTTTATTATTTGTTTAGGAGAAGAAGCACAAAGATAAAAAGAAGGAAGCTGATGGCCTAGACGTTGAGAAGGTGAAAAAGAAGAAAAAGGTACGAAACTTTAAGTTTGAAAGTATTTTAAGTGATTTTTAATATCCTTATCTTCAATTTTTACATATTTATTGTTAGTTGACTTCGTTTTAATTTTAGAGTAAAACTGAATTGGAAGAGAATGTAAAGCCAGAAAAGAGAGTACGAGAATGGGACGTTGGAAAGACGGAATCTTCATTTGGTAGAGGAGATAGACGATCTGAGAGAGATATCAGTCCAATCAGGACGAAACAACGTCGATTGTCTCCTCATTCTTTTCTCAGGAATAGTAGAAGGACTACACCTCCGTACAAAAATTTTAATAGAAACTCTCGTATTAGTATATCACCTATAAGAAATGGCAGAAGAAGCATATCACCGGATAGAAGGAAGCGACGATCTCCTGAACGAGTGTCTACATTAAGATCGCCAGACTTTCGTTATCGCAATGACAGGTATTATATGTTTGTGTTTATAGATACTTTTGGTTTAATTAGTGTATGTTTTTCTAATTCGACATAGAGTGTATGAAATTACGATATTTAGGTATCAATCCAGGAGAAGTGGCTTTGGTTTTGCTAGAAACTCAAGGTCTAGGTCACGATCATGGTCGCCTAGAAGGTTTCAAAGGAGAAGATCGCCAAAAAGAGAAGTTAAGCTAGAGGACATGAAGATCAACAAAGAAGAGTTGCTCGAGATAGCTGAACGAAATGCCTACAGATTGGCTATGGCCGGAAAGTTGCCCAAAAACTATGACATTTCAGCCAGTTTGCAAAAGAAGAGTATAAAAGAGTTGATAAGTGCGTTATTTATAATAGCTAATTTTTTAATTTGACAATGTGTTTTAAATTTAAAATTTTCAAAACAGTTTTTAAAATTTTGATATTATTTTTTTCAGAATATTGCGAAGAAATCAAGTCTAAAAAGTTCAATTTACCGCTGAACGAGTCTTTGGTCGAAGAAACTGACAAAGATTTTGATTTCACGACACTACCCGTTCGACCAGCCATTAAACTTAACGTAGGCACGTCTATGAAGCCTAAGTCAGCGTTAGAACGACTGATAGAAGAAAGTGCGTTGAGGAAGGCGTTCCCAGTCTCTTCTGGAGAAGAATACAGTGATGCTACCGATTGGCAACTTGTCCCAGTTGAACATTCTGTCATCACGGCATTGAGCAGTAAAAAAGTTAAAGTAGCACCAGCTTATTTGTTTTCTGACCCTCCTCCGCCTGCTCCGGTCCCACCACCACTTAAAATGACAAAGGTAGGAGTAGAGATTAAATTTAAAGTTTTGACATTAAGATATTGTTACATTTGATTATATTTTTATTTTCAGCCATTGCATCCTGTACCTCCATTAATAGTCGACCCAATTCTTGACTGGAGCATTCTTCAACCACCCCCTCCTCCCTTTACCTGTGCCGCCTTTGATGCTCCAGCAATAACAAAAGAGATGCCAGCTCTACCTAAAGTTATATCAGACTATGGAGAGTTGTTAACAGAAGAGGAAAGGAGGGAAGTCTTGGAAGGCCCGCTTCCAGAAGAGCCAGTACCCATGGAAATAGAAGAAGGAGAGATCGTACCTCCACCTTCAAGGTGGGAACCCATGTCTTTGGCTGGATTTGTGCCAGTAAAACGAAAAAAGAAGGAAGCTGATAATGACAAGGAGAACAACAAGGAAGACGATAAGAAAGATGAAGGTAAAACAAAGAAAAAGAAGGAAAAGGCAAAGAAGGAACGGTCCGAAGCTTCTAACAGTGATAAAGATGGGAAGCCTGGTTCTAGTCAAGATAATGAAAAAGAGGGAACAAAGGATGATGATAAAGAAGTAGAGAAAGCAGAAGACACAGAAGGAGTAATCAGAAGAACACTGGACTATATTATCTTACAAATTGAAAAAGAATCAACGTCTTATTCGAATATAGCGTTTACATTGGACAAAGACGAGTTGGAGATGCTGGATGAGATGTTAGATCAAGATGAAGCACAGAAAGACCAGAAACTTGTGGATTACGACGATGAGGACTCTTCAGGAGAGTCGTCGGGTTCAGATAGTGAAGAAGAAGGAGCCACTTTAATGTGTGAGAATGACAACGAAAAGATCATTGGAATTGGAGAGTCTGTATTCGGATCCTTCTTGGAGACTCCCAACTTTTCTTCTGACATCTCCATGATGCCTGTTGTGGTAAGTGCGGCTTTTGATATTACTCTTGTATTCATTTATATGTTCTGCGTGTTATCTAATGTTAATATTGGTTTATAACTTCTACGGTTTTCTGAGTATTTTTAGGCCCCAGTTAAATGTGGACATCTCGTTGCTGAAAGAGTCAGGCTACAACAATATCTGAACGAGAATCCTAATGATTTTGCGGCCAAGATGGCGGTTGCTGACGTCGAATTAAAGGTTTGTTTTTAGGCTGATGAATATGCATGGTAATATTCTTGAAAGTAACTACTGGTCGGTCGTCTGTTTGATAGTAGGGTATCAGTTTTTGTTGAAGGTTCACTTATAAGTTTAAAAGGTTATTGTTAAGTCCTACTACACAGACAAGGTATAATATAATGTGGTTGTTACTTTTAAGCGTATTACCGTTACAGGTTTTTATCAGTGGGTTGTTGGAGAAGTATATTGGAGGATATACGAAGAAGATGAAGATGCGAAAGAAGAAGAAGAGCTGACGATATTATGGATTATATTTTTTGTTTTATGTCTGATTATTAAGATTTGCGCGTAGCGTGTTACGATGTGATACTATGGCGCGGAAATGTTAATGATCAGACATAACACACGGGCTTTTAGGTCGATGTCATCTGGCTATGGAAGGAAGGGCTGGACTTGGCAGTGTACACTACAACTGGAACTCGGCTTCTAGTTCTTCGGTACTTTCATTCTGATTGCAGCTACTATAACATTAGAAAATACAGAATAAGGTCGCAATTACTGTAAAATAAGGTCACAATTTCTGGATATTTAAATTTGGCGTTTTCATTTTATTTTTGAAATTATGAACTTTTGAGATAGGAACGTATGAATGGCCGCAATCAAAATGAAAGTAGACGAGTGACATTATTCTAATTTTTTACATATTTTAACATTGGGTTAATAATATTTTTATTACCTAATTGATATTGTTTTAGTTGAGCAGATGGGCCGAGAGCAAAGAAAAAGATGCGGCCAGGTTTGGAGTGGCTCCCATCATGGATGCCAACATGGAAGTGCGGGTAACACAGAATAGCGTTTGGGCTACCAAGGTATGGGTCGAAAGTCATTTTATTGTTTATTCATTTGCTTAATCTACTGACTAATTTAATTGATTTGATGATTATTTAACTGACGAATACTTTACTGGGTTTTAACATTTGTTGTAGGATACGCTACGGAATGCGCCACAGTTGACTACGGGTATTGGCGCTCACCTTCTCCAGAAAATGGGCTGGGTCCCTGGACTAGGATTGGGCCGAAAGATGAACGGACCAGTGGAACCTTTGATTCTGGACGTGAAATCTGACCGAAAGGGATTGTACTCGACAGTACAGGACGTGAAACCTCCAAAACGGGAGAAAATCGCCAATTTGAATGGTATGTTTTTGCTGTCACTGGTTTAAAGAAAGTGGCCACTGACATTACAAGGTGTATGTTTAATAATGTGTTGAAGTTTCTTATCGTTTTAGGCAAAAACCCGGTCTCGGTGATAATGGAGCATTGCAGTAAGAATGGTCTCCCTCCACCGTACTTTGATCAGTACGATGAAGGCTCCGAACATCGCAAACGATTCGGGTGCAAGGTAAGGGCTTGTTAATGATTAGAAATAATCTTGTTGGACCGAACCATACTTATTCTATGGTTTTAATTGTCTTTTTAGTCTTTCTTTGTGGCATTACCTTTGTAAAACAGAAGTTCTTTATCATTTTACAAATCTTTTTCAGGCAGTGCTAAACGGAGTCGAGTACAATGCTGCTTGTGCGTCGACCAACAAGAAAGCGGCCAAAGCTCAAGTCTGTTTGATTATGTGTCGCGCTCTGGGGTTGGGATGTTCCGAGTAATTATGTACATTATTGTTAATTTTAATAATATTATTTATGTTTGGTTATGTTGATTATTGAAAAGTGTATATTGGTAAACTACATACCAATATTTTAGATTTAAATTTGCTGTGTGTAAAGGTCCCTATAATCAAGAAAATGGGGATTGATTACAATTTTTATTTACATAGTAAGCTTTGTTTACATCGTAATAAAAGCTATCATTTTGTTGTAATGCTAATCAGTCCAGTCAGCGAGAAACAGATTCAAGTCATACGGTGTCTTACCGTTCCGACTACTGCCCCAGATGACCTTCTTACCGTCGCGGCTTTGCATTGGGAAGGAGTCGAAGCCGTTTTTGTTGTATGTAATCTAAAAACTGTCTCATCTTAGGCATGTTAGTTTCTTTGATAACTTTTTTAATCTACCTTATTCAAAGATAAGTGTAAAAGGGCACCGTTATTTTATAGTTAAGCTCATATCTTAACTATACGTTAAGCCATAAAACTTGCCCTTTCCAATTTGTCAGCCTTTCGATTCACCATGTAAATGTCGAAAGCTCCAAATCCAGTGACGTTAAAGTTGGTACTGTATAATATTCTGTCATTGTCCAACAAGAAGAATGGTGCCCAATTGGAGCCACCCAAATAAGTAATTTGTCGCATTCCAGTACCATCAATGTTAATCTCGAACAGCTCCATTTCTAATGGCTCCACCAAGTTGTAACTGAAAGACTAGTAGTTAAGAGAGGTGAAAGCAGATACTTTATTAATTTTTTATTGAGCTAATTTAGATTGCCTTAAAGATCTTTGTAGTTTACTTAAGAATAGTGGATCGAAATCGTATTTTACCAAGGATAATGTAGAATGTGACATATTACCTTAACAGTTTCCTATACTTTTCCAACTCTTGTTCTGTTTTTGGTCGTGAGGCCCTGAAGATGACTTTGGTACCATCAGGAGAAAAGAATGGACCTCCATCGTAACCAACCACATTTGTTAGCTAAAACAATATACTAGTAATTGTACTTTACTTTTAGTTAGTGATTTGTAATCTTTCATAAGATTCAGAATGATATCCTCCTTACCTGTCTCAAGTTCTCGCCTTCAGAATCCATCAGCCAGAGCTCGGGGTCCCCCGTTCTCATTGACATGAACACGATGTTCTTGCCGTTAGGTGATACAGCACCTTCAGCGTCATAGCCCGGAGTACTGGTGAGTCTCTTGATGATGTTACCGTACTTGTTGACCTTGTAGATGTCATAGTCGGGGACGATGTCCCAGGTGTACGATGTGTTACACAGTTTCTTCAGAATCGGGTCTGTGGTAGCTTCTGAACTCTGGCACTTCTTCGGAGGACAGGTGTTCTCCAGGTGATCTGGTTTTACTGCGGCAAAGGTAGAGGCATAGATGTAGGTTTGGTCGTCTGGGAAGAAGTAGGAGCAGGTACAGGCTCCTAGTCCAGTACTGATACGTTGGAGGTGGGTGTTCTCGTCCACTAGCTTCTCGATGTTCAGTTTGTATATCTGAAATACTGTAGTTTTACTCTATACTAAAAGTAAGTTAGCCTATAATGGCCCCTTAAAAATGATTAATACAGAATTATACTCCCAATGATATTAAACGTACCTGATCACACAACGTTCCGTACCGTTCCTTGCCCATCGCTTGGAACAGAATATTCTTCGAAGCAAAGTTAAAATAGCCTTCGGCGTTCTGTCCTCCAAACGTCAACTGTGCTACTGAATTCAGATGCTTTTCTTCTGGATAATGTAACTCTTCCACCTTCTCGGTTACTGTACTTTCTTCTTCGTGCTGAATTACTGTACTCTCTTTCTTAGTATAAGATTTAAATTGAAGCCTTGTTGCTACATCAATATCAGATAGGTAGATATTCCCAGTGCCATTATCTTTGCTCGACCATAAGTATTTCTTGTTGTCTCTGGATACTGTAGGATAGCCGTGTTTACCATAGTGCATAAACTATAATAAATAGTACAACTTATGATGAAAACTTTGTCAATCTTACCGGTCGAAGGTTGGTGCCATCGGTTTGAATAAGGTAGGTCTTATAGTCATTCGAGCGGAAAATTACAGTAGCCTCATTCAGAAACCGTGCTCTGCCATTGTATCCCCTAAGGTTAGTTAGTTGTCGCTTGCCAGTGCCATCACTGTTCATCACAAACAGTTGTGTATTGGTTTTGTCCACCAAGTTGTAGCTGTAAAAGTAGGGCTTATACCTTTTTTAAATGATATTGTCACTATACATAGTATGTTTGATGCTTCAAGTAATACAATAAAACATATCCTACCGCAGTAACTTTTGGTATCGTCTATGATTATCAGGTACAGTAGCCGTATACACCACAGTTCGTCCAGTTGGAGACACAGACGCTTCCCCTTCATAGCCAATATCGTTTGTCAGCTACAAGTTATCAAAATTAGAAACTAAAACAACATAGAAAAAAACATACAACGTCTATATACATAAAATATGTGTCAAGACTCACCTGCTTTTTGTTTTGGCCATCAGTATCAGATACCCAGAGGTCTGGATCGCCTGATTTCATTGAAGTGTACAGTATCCGTTTCTTTCTTACTGTAGGCTCGGTATTACTGTAAAAACCACCAGTCAATACTTTTTCGACATTTCCAACCCAATTTACTCTGTAGATATCGGAAGTTGGCATTAGTTCTTCCAACGTTCTGTTTGAGCCTACAATAAGGTCTCTTTAAAGTTACAGTAATCACACAATCAAATAATTTTAAAGCTACAGTAATCTTAAGCAATATAACTACTTCTAAATTAAATTTACAGCGCTTACAAAGTCTTCTCAGAGTAATGTCGTTTCTTTTGCGATCGCAAAGATGTTGTCGACAAGTGTCATCTACAGTTTTACTTCCAATGGGCAGATGGTAATGAAGGTCAGTAGAGTATACTGCACCCATTTTGCCATGAACTTCAGTGAAACTAGGGTTTCTAGCAGTACCATACCCACTACTGATACGATAAGGATCTTGTGATAAATGCTCGAGGTCGATCAGGTATATCTGAGAACATTTGTGACCGTACTCTCCGCCTGAAGCTTCAAACAGTACGTAGCGGTTGTCATCACTGAAAGTTTATTCGTATTGTTATTTGTCACCATAAATTATGGTCAATAACAAAACCTTTTCTGAAATGGCCAATTACAATATTTTTCATTCGAATTCTTTGATTTAGGTATGAAATAGCCAAGAACGAGCTCTAAAGCAACAAAACCCCACCTCAAAACAGGATTCACGTTGTCGCCAGTGAACGTGAGCTGAGTGATACTGTGAACATGTAAAAGACAAAAGGATAGCACAAACCAGAGCCGCATCTCATTGACACAACACAAACTGGGCCAGCTGGTCGGTCACTCAGCGGTCGGTCTTATAAAAGGAATAAATCAGAGGTTGGGTTACATCATATGATCCTTTATTTATAGGTTTGTTACCTAAAATACACCAAAAGGGTTATAAACGTTAAACAAATCTTCCATGAAATATGAGGTCTTAAAATAATTTAGACCCATTAAGTTGTTTATAGAACAATTAAAACATCTAACTTTACATTTGGAGATAGGTCAAACAAATAACATATTATAATGCATTAGAACTGTAAAACCTTCCAATAATATCAGTATATGATAACAATAATATCAGCAAAATTATAAAGATTCATTGGAGAACTATTAAAACTTTTTTGTATTCTTAAAACTGACAATATTTCTTTGTTTTCTTTGTCGAGTCGAAGAGATCGGGTCAGTTTTCATCGTATAACTTGTCTTTTTTGGTGAAAATTCTAAAAAAAAATAAATTTCGCGGGATAATATCCTAGACTCTGTAATTTTACGCCATTATCTTCATTTTGTAATGAGTAACGACAACATGGAGGTCGAGGAAGGAGTTCAGAAGAGATTTGAAGTGAAGAAATGGAACGCCGTTGCTCTGTGGTCGTGGGACATGGTCGTGGACACTTGTGCCATCTGCCGCAATCACATCATGGACCAGTGTATCGAATGCCAAGCCAACCAGGCAGCCAGCAACAACCAAGAATGTACCGTCGCCTGGGGTGTGTGTAACCATGCCTTTCATTTCCACTGCATTTCCAGATGGCTCAAGACCAGACAAGTGTGCCCGCTGGACAACAGAGAATGGGAGTTCCAACGATACGGACACTGATAACCTGGTAATCTATTACACGAGTATCTTCTAATGCATACTTTATTTGATAAAGGTAACTTTTGAAGATTTTCTTTGATAATTTATATTTTTTTTACTTTTTATCTTCTTTATTTATATTACTCATACCTATAAATAAAAGTAATTGAACCGTTCTTTTCATAACTTTATACATTTATTCGATCTGAATTCGAATCCACATGATTGTGAGAGTTGAGATCGACCGGTTGATTGTTGGCGATCTGTTTGTGCCACATTTCCATCATTGAATTTTGTTGAATCTGTTGATTGAGTAGGTATTGCATGGCCAGAGGATTCCAGCACGGCATCTGAGCGTGCTGATGAGATTTGATCTTCCATTGGGCTTGTCGTCTTCTGTAGTCTCCCTTCAAGAAGTCGGCCAGATTGGCGGGGTGGATCGTCCAATAATGACCTTTTCCGTTGGCTGCGCGGTCGACTTTCACAAAACAGTCGTTCAATGACAGATTGTGACGAACTGAGTTTCTCCAGCCTGAGCCGCGGTTTCTGAAGATGAAACATGTTGTTTTAGATGGATTTTGAAATAAAAATTAAATTCTTTTGTCGGAAAAGGTTAGTCTTTTGAAACAGCATTTTTCGCTATAATAATACAACAATATTAAAGCTTTTTATTACCTAAAATACGAATATTCCATGGCGATCCAAGTGTAGATTTCTGATAACAGCATTTTCCTCTCTGGACTACTCAAAATAGCCATAGCAATCAGTCCAATATAAGAGTATGGTGGCTTCGAATCTTTCTTGTGTTCCAACTTGACAGTAGCATCTGGTGGAAGCTGTAGCAGGCTTCTGATGAGCAACAAACTCAGCTTGTCTTGGGGGAAAAGCGACGTCGCCTGAGGGTCGGTCATCGCGGGCTTTGTTTGGAAAGTGCCTCATTCAGAAGGCGAGAACTTGCGAGAGAAATCCGTTTAAGGGATATGGCCGTGTTCTTTGTTGGCCACGATTTGATTACTCCAAATAAAAATATATTGTTTGTGGACAATCAGAACAACTCTGGCCGCAATTCGATTTCGGCTACTGTACTTGGGTTTGTTTGAAAACACTTTAAATTGTCTTGTTTTTGCCTTATATTGAGGATGGGGATTTAGGTAACAGTTTTTTCAGAGAAGAATAACATTGTGGAGTGTAAAAACTATGGTAAAATTTAACATACGACTAAAATATTTCGTAAAATTTTAAATTTTAATAAGCATAGTAAATGGTACAGTAACCCAGAATACGGTAATAATTTATTGATTGCAAACAGAAGTATATTACATTGACAGTTTACTCGTCGACGGTAAAACATGGTCGGCCATTGTGACCAGGAACAGGGAAAGACGAACATACGACGGACTTAGAGATATCGGATATAAGTACGAAGACAAACCGAGAAGATACCTGCAGGTGATGTGTTTGTATTACATGGACGTGCGATTAAGTAAGGGAATGCGTTCTAGGTAACTACTGTAATATCATGTACAGAAAGGGTCTTTGAGACATAAAGATATGACAATAGTTATAGTAAAGACAAGGTTATCAGTTTATCATAGGTAAAGGAGAATATTATTATAGGTGTCAAGGTCACGATGAACATATTACACTAGACTAAGAAAGTGATATCACAATAGGAAAATAGTAATACAGTGGCTCACATTATGACAAATATAAAACAATATAGTAAAAGTGAAATGACGAAATACGTTACAGTAAGGTCCAACTACAGTAAGATAAATAACAATCAGTGAATCCGAGAACTTTCGATGGACTTGACGTCGATGAATCCTTCCTTTAGATTGCTCTGATTCATCAGATTCTGTTGATGAATCAAGGCCGCTGCTGTAGCTACATCAAGGTGAGGCATGGGAATGCCGCCGGGGAAGGCTTGGGACTGGTTCGGGTCGAAGAAACCCATCTACAATAACTTGGATTAGTACGTTATGATATAGCACATAGATTATTACATGGTCGGCCATTAGATTTAACTTTGTTCTTACATAAGTTTTAGGCTTACACCGTGCCTTGGTCAAAAAGTTAATAGAAAACGGAAGAAAATTCAGTTTTTTAAGTTTTAGCTACAGATTCGATCGTACCTGTTGAAAATGTGTAGTAGCCGTATACAGCTGATCTCCAGGGAACTGACAGTGCACATGACCAGGCATCCCCCCAAAGCCCTGCCCCAGAATCCCCATCTGATTTGGCGGGAAATTCAAAGGCGGAGCGTGGAAGGCCATCTGAGTCTGGGGCAACACGTTCTGATTCATCATGGCGCAGATCCTCTGATAGTTGTTGGCTACAGTAAACTGTGGCGCCAACTGAATTGGATTCGACAAAAGGCCGGGTACAGTAACAAAGCTAGTAGGCGGAACTCCAAACGGTAGATTCAACTGATTCAGCTGAGTTTGAGGATTCAGAACACTGTGTAGCTCGTCGATGCTACACTGGAACACCTCGATGTAGCGCTTCTTCTTCCCCAGCTCCATGTTCTTGTTGTGCATGGCGTTGGCGGCGACAGAAGCGGCGGCTTCTGTCTTCATCTGGACGAAGGCCTCTCCAGAAGGCGTGCCTTGACTGTTCAGAATCATGTGAATCCCTTGTTCGTAGATGTTCTTGGCGTGGCTGCCGAGGAAGGCGGCTATCTGGTCAGGTTTGGCTTCGTAGGGTAGACCTCGCATCCGAAGACAATTCCTTTTAGATGTGAACAATCGACTGGTCGGGTTGATGGCTGCTGCTGCTGGCTGAAAATGGAGGATTACTAGTCAATACATTTAGTTCGTAAAGTGTTGGTTTACAATATTTTTAAAAAATATTCTATACTACCATCTGACAGCCTAAAACGACATTCTCTCTAAAACGTTTTGCTCACCGTGACGCTCTTCTGCTGGATTCTGCTGATGATTTGCTGTACTTCGGCTTGTGTCGTCCTGAACAACTCAATGTACCGTGTCCCAATCCTGTTTTTGTGTTTGGCCAAAGCTCTACGGCCAGATTCATCGTCAACGAAGAGGACAAAGGCGTCACCGGTCGGTCGGCCGTCTGGTCGATTCACAAACATAACACCGTCCTCCATGATGCCGGCTTCACCGTCTGAGCTGAAGAAGCTTCTCTGGAAATGGCAATAGGATCAGAGAAAGACAATATGGTTAAGATGACTTTGAAAAGTCAAGAAAGGTAAGGGTTACTACTTTATAAAGACATATTATCTTAGAATATGTTGTAGTAGTTCAAAAATAGATTTTTTAGTTAAATAAGTCTAATTGTTTGGCTTGTAGGTAATATTTGCTAAATTTTACAAAAAAATGGCAAAAAAGCTGATTTCTAAGGCCTAACATATGCCCGTACTTACAATGTCATTTTCGGTGCAATCAAACGGCAATCCCCTCATACGAACGATCATGGCAGCGTCCCTACACACGAACTTCAATGTGTCGGAATCAGATCCTGCAAAGCAAATATATTATTCGAGACTCTCGACCCACAAAACCCATTAAAAACAAAAACATATTAATCTGTTTTCATGTCGCCTATCACCAACATACGATTCGAACTGTCGTAAACTATATGTTTACCCTATGTTATATACTGTTCAAGATGTCGTATGTAGATTGATAGTGTAAAAAATGAAAAAGTTGAGCTTACTGAACAATTTAACATAATATAATACAGAAAAGTAACAGAAAAAGAGTGTAATTGCTCTAGTATACTACAATATTGTAGTTAATGTCAACTACATTTCTATATAAGTCATTTACATACGACTTTAAAAGTATTCTACACACGTAAAACTGTCTATACTCTTTCAAAGTTCTACAATACACAACATAATATATCTTGTCTAAAAGTAAACCTACCAACTGCCACTTCCAAGAACTCTTCGGCCGTACTTCGGTATACCTCAATGTAACGATTGTGCAGAAACTTTCTGTGCCTTCTGATGGCCAATTCACGGTGAGAGTTGCACTCGAAGCAGACCAGAGACTCACCGTTCCGTCGTCCTTCATTTCCCAAGCACAGAGCAATACCTCCACTGTAAAGGTTATGTTAGAACATGTTAGTAAGTTAGATCACATCTTAATATTTTATTTTTTTATGTTGAATTAGGTAACGTTATATTTGCAAGAGTATTATATTATTCATGCAAAGTTGTTAAAGTAACTCACGGAGCTATGTTGAGACCTGCAAAGAACAGAGCGATGTCTTGGTCAGAAGCTTGCCACGGTAATCCTCGAGTTCGCACGATGAGAGATGAATCCACATGGCGGTCGAAACTGTAATTATGATGTTTTACACAAATAACTAGAGGTAAGGCAAGGTAAAATTAGCGTTTATCAACATATATGGGTGATTATGTATGTTATACCTTTATATTGTACGTTAGGTTACATTATATTTTACTTTTACATACAAATACGTTTAAAAGTGCCATTTTAAAATAATAAATGCCCAAAGCACTATTGTTTTTTATAAGTTACTGTAGTATATTAAGAGTGTTTTAAACCACCTGTCACGAACTGTTTTTAAAATTTTGTTTTACTTTGTTACCTACATTAAAGTAATCGAACTTACCTGACAAATGGAGTGTAGCCTTCGTTTATTGTCTCTACCAGATTCAGAAGATCTAGTCCTTCTGAAAAAGCAAAATATATGCATATGACATAGCAAATTCATATATTATTTCCATTTTTCATATTACTTTAATTAACATAATATGTTACATTATTCTATGGTCGTAAAAACTTCAATCGTACGTTGACATAACCTAATGTAAACTTACTGTTCTTGATGACATCTTTTATAGAATTACATCTGTCAGTGACACTCTTTGTAGCCATGTCTTCTGAATCTACTATGCTTTCCAAGCTGACATATTGGTTGAACACTAGCGGTAACCGTTGTCGTAATGTCGTATCCATGACTTCACCAACATTGTAGTTCTTTGTAGCGTGCATTGCGGCTACTGGATGTAACACTTGTCGTATGTCTTCAGTACAACATACGATCAAAGCTTGTGGACCAAGTTCTTCTGCTATCTACAAATAGAATACTACTACAGTAAAATGTAAGACATACGATGAAAAGTGGCAAGGATATGTACATATAGTATGTAATAATAGTAAGACAAAAAGACATACTACAACAACAATACTACGTCTAATGTCATAAATGGACTCACTTTATTCAAGTCTTCATCCAGATTTGTTACAGTAATCTCCACCGTGCTATCACTCTCATCCTGAATACTGTAAGCGATCTGTAGCTGCATATGTTCATTGGATCCAGGAGAGATGGAGGCCGTAGTAGATGGAGATGTTGTTCCAATAGCCGAGTCTCCAGAAGACGAGGTTGAAGCCGCTGACGCTGGAGATACGGTACGGCGCTCATTCACCGTCCTTCCCAGCACGCTACTGTTCAGATTCTTCTGCACGATCGCAAAGGCTACCAGAACCGGCTTTTCGTGTAGCATTACCAGCGACTGAAACATATTTTTTGTTACAGTATACTACAGTAGTGTGATGAAAATGTTTTCATACAGTATAGATATATATACATATGTACAGTAATTTAATCAAAAACTGTAAATTTAGTTAACAAATTACCTTTTTGATGACGCTTTCTGAATCCACAAATGTACCGTGCCGTTTTCGAGGAATGGCTGAAGAAATCGTTGACCCGAGTCTGAAGTTACAGTAAACTACAGTAATCCCAATTTAAAGTAACTTTAAATACCAAACATAACACGACTGTAAACTATTTTACATCACTACCAAAGTACATAACAGGTGTAATTGTAGGTGTTCTACTTAAATTAAAACGCCTTTAAGTGGGATTCTGGGTGACTTCTCGAATGAAGCCGGCTGCCTCTTCCCTTTCTCGCGCGACTTCAGATTCCGCCACTTAAAAACATCTCAGTCAAGGTTGTTGCGTCAGGCGAGGCAACAATCTCGGATTTTATATAAAATAAATAATGGCACATAGTTGTGTCAATAAGTAATGGCAGAGAATAATGTCAATAAGTAATGGCAACTATAATATAAGTGTTATAAGCAATGGCAACAAAATGTCAAAGAAAAATATATTAACACTACTATAATATAAAATATATTTCCAAAATATAAAGGTTACCACAGAAATACTAAAAGCCCATTACAGTTTCGAGACATAAATTGGCAGAATCTGAAGGCAGGCCAGCTAGGAAATCTTGGCCTAATCGGATGGATTAACTTTTTTGAAATGTAAAGGAAGAGGTGTTGAAGAAATTACATTTATTACTTTACATTCTAAATTATTCCGACGACACGAATGAAAAATGCCACAAAGTTAAAGAAATATAATATTTTAGGTAATAAAAGTTTGTAAACATACCTAAAATAATATAAAATTTAAGATAAATACCTAAAATAATATAAACTTATATATCTAACAGAATACAAACTGAAAAAATACTTATATAATTGTAAAAAGCACTTATATACAACTCATCAGCTCTTGAGAACTTTACTCTGCTAATTACTGTAAAGTGTAAAACAACAAAACCTTGGAAGAGAATTGTAGTAATGACCACAATTGTAAACCCTTTAAAGGCTACTCTCGAGCGACAAAAAACCACTCTCGAATCATTCGAAATGGGTCAGCACTAAAGAGTACCCCGAGGCACTTCAAGGTCAACGAGATGTTATCAGTACAATATTCCGATTACCCTAACTAGACGTGTGTTAGTCTAATTTGATCGTTTAACATACAATTTGTGATAAATTTTGCAACAATTATATAAGAATTGATGTTTTTTAAACTTTCGAAACGACCAAACCCAAACTGCAAACCTTAATTAACGTGGCAAAGTCATACGGTACAGTTTTACTGATAACCGGCTGTCCACAAATCCCGAAAAATGCCAAAACAAGATAGCGGGGTATTAATAACGGCAGAGAACGTAAAAATACAATCCCGTGAACGTTAAGGAACGATTATAAAACGTCGTCCCTTTTCATTTGTATGCAATTTTGTTTAGATGCTAATACCCCGAGGCAAGAGATTTACATGGAGAAGTCACCTGTTTTACATTCGACGGCACATTTCACACAGGAACGCCGAAAAAACAGGTGAATTGTAAGACGACTGCCCCCTTAAGATACCAAGATCTACCCGATTCAAGGTCATCATCTGAAGCAATCGCTCGCCCCCTCCAATGGACATTGCGCGACGAGAAGACTGCCACCTTGATTCGGGATCCTCCCCATCTCTAATTCCCACTTAATCCCTCCTCGGCCCGCCGGCGATTAGGCCAAATATTCATGTAAATTCCTATACAACATTACGACCTCTTCCACGAGATTAAAGGACACTTTCAAGGCACTTAACGTGACGCAACCACATTAGAAACGATGCCTACTGCAATGTAAATTAATTCTGGAAGAGTAGGGAATATATTACAGTATAGTTTGGCCTTAATTTGCATAAAACTTAAGTTGAATTTACTAAATTCGTCTACTATAATGTAGAACATAAATTAAATAAAAGTTTATGCAAATTAACCAAAAAAACTTATTCTTCTGATATTAGTATCTAAAACAATGTTGTACAAAACTGTTTCAAACCAGTTGCAACACGAAACATTCGCTTCAAGTCATCAGAATCCGCAGACAGACCTCGAGTTTACTCAGCCGACCCTGAGGCCGAAATCAAAAACATTAGGGACGCGAGGGATTTGAACTCTTCTCGGGACAAAAAATCATGTAATAACCTGAGGACTACCATAATTCCCACCTCTGTGTTGTCACCAGATGCGCGGCGAGAGAGTGGGTGGGCCGGGGAGGCGGCAGACATCAGTTCGATCCGAAATTGAGGGCCTCCGCCGATCGCTCGACAACTCACGCAAACAATGCACCATGACTACTTGGTCTTGAGCATAAAAGGACACGGTAAGTGCGGGACTTGAATATATTAATCCACTTCCGCAAATACACCCTTCTTACCGCCACAATTTCACCACGAACTTGGGGTGTAAAATTGTCTATGAAGGTGAATCGAAATTTTAATTTTTTGCAAATTTCGAACATTATAAAACTGATACAAAAGCCAAAACCCATATGAACTACAATAAGCATAAACGTTAAAATTTATTAATTTAAGTTTAAACCAACCAAAAATAATTTAAGGACTAAAGATATGTCACAAAATGCAAAGTTATTAAGCGAGATCAGTCTTGTCCTTCTTGGCCTCCACTTCTTGACCATCTTCATCTTCCTCTAATGGTCGTTTAGACCGATTCTGGGGAGTGGGATCTTCAATTATGTCATCATCACCAAACTACAACCATTTACTATTACCTATTCTAACATTTTTTTCAATTTTATACCTAATTCTTTGATTTCTACTCGTTTCTGAAAACTTTAATACTGACTAACTATATTAACCGCTCAATTAAAATTATTAATATAATAAAATATAACCTGAGTTTAACAATAAAACAAATTGAAAACAAGAAAACCTACCAAATCATCAGCATCAAGGTTGATCTCAGCGTTATTGTCGGTTTGATTCTCCAGATGCGCGTAGTATGGTATTCCCACGGCATCCTCATGAAGCCGACACATCATCTCATTCCAATCTGGCATTTCCAGCTTCTCGCACAATTCTTTTGTTTGAGGATTTCTACAAAAGTATAAAGAGATAAGACAACCTTGCCAATACAACACAGTATAAAGCTGCTAGTATAACTTAAGTTATACTATTACTTTACTTATTACTACTAATATAACGTTACACCTACTAATAGAAAAATTTACATGCCACCTAACCATACCTGTAATACAAAGCCTGTTGTGCCACAAAACTATTTCCTGCCAGTGCATTCTCAGGCGGAGCTGTCATTTTGAAGTTGTCTGGTATCTTCAGATCCCCAAACTTCTCCACCACCAAGCCCATTTGTGCTTTTGTCGCTGTAAAACCCGTATTGTCGTTTGGAATGTTGCTGTAGCCCCTCTTGGTCTGCTCCAACGTCCTCGTGTTCTGGAGAATAGCTAGCCATTCAGCGTCGTACTTTAGTACTTTCTCAGATGGCTCTGTTGGAGTAATGTCGAAGAAGTTCAAGTAATTGCGCACATTAATCTGTTGAGCACATTTACTTAAAGCTGTGAATTTAGTCTCCAGATTCCCACCGTGCGGCACTGTAGCCGGAAAGAGAGCGTGCATATGCCCAGAAAAGTGATACCTCGGCTTCAGCTTCTTGATCAGATCCATGGAATAGGCATTACCCAGAGTATTGTTATCAACGTCATTTTTAATGTGATGCTTGAATCTGAGTAATTGTTGTTCGTTGCCAAACTTTGTTATGCCATTGGGCCAGTCATGCGTCATAAAGATGTCCAGACTTGAACCTATAGGTAAAACGAATAGATATGAAAACTATTAAAGCTTAAAAAACACATTATTACGTTTAGGTAATAACAATTGAAAGGTAACAAGTGAACGCACCTTCTGTTTGTAGTAACTGTAACCGATAATGTTCGATAGACCTAACGTGATATGCTGATATCTCTTGTTTGTTTAAAAATGGCGGCGCTTCGAAGTGATCTAAAAGTAGCCGTTGGTAAGTAAAACCTTAAAAAAGATAATATAGTAAAAAACCTACAAATTTAAATACCATAAAACATATAATGACAAAACACTCTTAAAATTGGCAAAAGGTACGATAACTTACTGTACATATAATCATGATGTTTGTATATCCCACTCCACCCTCCAATCCTCAGCCCACCAAAATTTATTACACTAGCAAATCCAAGGTAATATATATTAGGAGCTACCCATCCACCATGTGGCAGTTCTTGGGAAAAGGCTATACTCTCATGATTTCCTCCGATAAAGACAGTCAAAACTGGTGCTACCTTAACATCAACAATATTAAAAACAGTATGGTAAAATATAAAAACAATAATTTTTTTCGGTAATAATAAGCCCAATGTTGTAAAATAAACTCACTTGTTCTCCAGAATAATACTTGTAAAACGTCCTCAACTCTCTATACTTTTCAGGACAATGTATATGATTAAGATCTGTCCGATTTCGAATAGCCTAAACATTAAATTTAAAAAAAATTCTAAAAACCGACTTGAAAATCTCCGCAACACAATAAGAGATCAACTTTCTGACCCGATTCTCTGATATCTCTATAGATTTGGTCTAATTCTCCATGAGCACATCCAACAACTGCTGTTTTAATAGACATTATCTAAACAACAATAATGACAAACTTATTTTAAATATTACCTAAACCTCAACCAAAAGCTCCCATTAAGTAAAATCTTAGACTAAAACACGCTTCTTCAAATCTTCCAATCAACATGTTCATAAATAGTTTATTTTAGACATAAGATACCAGTTTTTTGAACAAATAAATTAGATATTGTGGCCGGACCGAGTCAACTCCTCCTTCAACATAGAGTGGAAGTCCTTTTCAATGTTCTCGTCGTCCCAATTGTCAGTCCACACATTCAGTTCTTGTTCAACGTCCAGTCCGCTCTTCTTTTCTTGTACTTCACATCGAGGAAACTCTTCGAATTCATCTTCATCTTCTAACTGAATCGGTTTTGGTTCCTTCTTCAACGATTCTGCTGACAAAGTGTCGTGCTTCTTTTCACCTTGTTTCTTTGGGGTAGAAGACATGCTAAAAATATTTAAATTATTAAACTATAATAATAAAAACTAACAATAATAATGTGTCAAACACGATAAAAATAAAAATAACTATATAGACCCAAAAATATTTACAAAGGAAAATGTTTTCGTAACAAAGCATTGCCATAAAACTTGTTAACAACTTAAAATAACGTAAAAAAACTTTTTTAGAATATTTTACGAAAAGAATTACAAATAAAGTCAATAGTAGAGTTTTGTTCAACCGCCATTTCTGTGGCTTTTCGTATTTTTTATAATTATTTGTTTCATAAAATTAAGATTTCGCATATTTTATTTTTTATAATTCTCAATTGTAGTCTAGTCAAATCATGTCGAATCCAGGAGAGAATGAGAAAGCTCTTCAAGCTATAACAACTCTCGAAAAGTATCTAATTGAAGCCAAAAGTGGTATCGTTGATCTCGTTGTGATGTTGGAAATGCAAGACCGGGTTCCTTATCCTGATCTCTTGGATCAGTTTGCTGCTTTGGCTGGTTCTTTCACAGAGATTCAGAATATTATGAAGAAGGGGGCGTTACCATCAGCCGCTGAAGATGGAGGACTCTTGCTGAAGAACAATGTTTTGGTGCCAACTTTTGTGTCTATGGAGCCGGACGATAATCTTTTGGTACGTTTTTTGTGCCTTTATATTGTTTTTGGATTTATTTTTATTTAAAGTTGTGTTCTTTGCATTAGCATCTTAGAATATTGTTTCAGCAATTAACAGAAGGCAGAATACATTGTTGGAACCATGATGTTGTCCCAGATTATCTTCGAACAAAGCTTTGTCCAGCTGCAGAAGATGAAGAAAGCCGACTAGATAACGAAAGACAACAGCGACCAGGAGATTCTATAGCAAAACAAGTAAGTGCCTCATTATTATCTTGAAAAATGGGTAATACTACTAGTTGTTAATGTTTTTTGTTTAGATTCAATTGATGAACAAACATATCGACTCGATTATTACTATCAACGGCGAAACTACAAACAAGACACAGGATAAAAACAAAGAAGCGATTGCCTTTGATGTTAATGATACCAGGAAGCTGGTCAGAGGAATAATGAAAGGAGAAGGACTCAAACCAAAGTCTCAGCTACATTCTGCTGGTCAACTAGCTCAAAGTCTTCAGAAGAAATGATTTCTTGTTAATTTATTCACCTAAGTATACCGAATTTGTTGGTAATTTGTAAATAAACTTTATTTATTATCTTGTGCACAGTTTATTGCGTGTTGGTCGTTAGATATTGTTTTTGTTTGTGTGAAACATATTTTTATTTAATTTTATATTCAATTCTCAGACAGAATGCAAAGGAAACGTCACGCACCAGCTGGGTCTTTCAGATCTCCGATAACTCATAACAGAACAGAAGCCGGCAGTCCCATCAAGAAGAAGAATTGTCAATCAGTAACGCCATTGAGGTCTGGGTTTACAACGCCTTCGAGTACAATAGGTAGATCAAGCTCAAATAAGTGTGGTACACCAGTTGTAATGAAAAGTAGGTTTTGATATTGTGTTTTGTTGGTATAGTAGTACTTTTATGTGATGATTAACCGTTCCAGTTTCTCCTACTAAACAGATCAGCGAAAGTTTGCAAACCTTAGACTTTACCACAGCTAGCCAAGCTCCAATTAAACTGTTGGCCAGCAAGTTAAACGCGGCCAAAACACTACTCAGAGATGTGGACAACATTGTTACTGTAAGTTAATAAATTTTATGTTTGTATATAATTCATTTTGTATATAGTAACGGTTACTTTATTCAGGACGAAGAACTACTAAACATGCCAGTAAGGACAGAACGGCCGAAAGAGACGGTCCCAGATTCTTTAGACGATGATCTTGATGTAGATTGGGAATCTGTGGGGAAGTTGATTCAGGAGAAGATGAAAGATTAGAGGAGAATGCGATGTACTTAGCAAATGTTAGACAAACCCTTACTACTGTAACTGGACACAATTCACACATAGCCAGTTTGTTAATATCTTATGTCTATTTCGTACTATTTTTGGTTTCAATTTGTTACCGTTTGTAAAATAAATTATTACTCATGTACGCTGATTATGTTTTTTTTATATTTTAATTTCAACCAATACTTTGAAATATATATTAGTTACGTCGTATAAGATGTCTTCTTTACACTCGCAGTCCTGTGGGCGCGGTTAGCGATAGCAATATTCGAAAAGAATTTCCAAAAATAATTTTGAGACAAGAATTCGCTCGATATTTTCCTTTTTCGACCCAGATTGCTTATCAATAACAAAACTGGAAGTGGGAAGCTCATTTTGTTGATCGAACACTTGTGTTCAGGCTGCTATATTGTTCATGTCTGCGTTTGATATTAACTCCAAAGCAACAAACGTAAGTCTTTAGCTTGCTTGTTTTCCTTTGTTTTAGAGCCATCATCGCTTACAAGCATCATAATATTGCTTTTTATACGCTTATAATCAATTTTATAAAGGTAAAACAGTTATAGAGGGTTAAGAAGTTCTTTTCAGCCTAAAGAGCAGGGATTGTTCGACTACTGGTACCTTCAGTACTGCCTGACGACAGGTCTGTACATGCTCGAGCCTTGGGAGCGACGTCTATTTAACTCGATTGTGCTTGGAGCTGTGACGTTGTCCGTTGGCATCACTTACCGAGGCTTGTCTGCCTTCTTCTAACTCTACCTTTACATAATGGCTGCTGTGGAAGGTGCGGCAACCGACTCGAAGGTGGCGATTTTGCTCAAGGCCGTGGGTAACACTCCAATTTTGAAGAACAAGAACTGGACTTTGGAAGGCACCAATACCGTGGCCTGGTTGATCTGCTTTATTCGTCGTTACCTAAAACTCCCAGCTTCTCAATCCTTGTTCATCTTTGTTAACCAAGCCTTTTCTCCCAGTCCGGACCAAACCATAGCCAATCTACAACATTGTTATGCTCCTTCAGGTCAGAAGCTGGTCTTACATTACAGTACAACCAACGCTTGGGGCTAATCTTATTGTGATGTTATTGTAATATAAAAGAATTGTAATAAATAATGTTGACTATGAAGAGGCATTTGGTGTACATTGTCTTTAACATGTGAATTATAATATTTAAATGTTGTGGTTTGTGTTCATGGTTAGTTGTTATTGTTGTATGTTGTAGTAAATGTGTTTGCATTTTAGTAAAAGTAATATCACGGTAAATATTTAACAGAAGCGGTAATTACAGCTAATCTCAACGGTCCTAATTGTTTACATGAATACTTCTTTTTAGAATGATATCAGACGATATAAGTGGCGGAACGGAATGCTTCCCAATCCCGGCTGTCAACAACTACGATGACAAGCCTTTGCCCGAGTTCACCTACATAACGAGCTCAATATACGAGGCAGAATCAGATCGAATGTATCAAAAGACAGAAGCAGGGCATAAGACTATAGTGCATCACCTGCTCTTTGATGATGAAGGCCGATTTAATGAGAAAGCACTTCGAACTCAACTGAAAATACAGGTAAGGGTCAAGCTTGTGTTAGTCAACAGATTAAGGTTCGCTTCTTCTAATTATGTTTTTACTAGTTTTTGGATACATAATTGGTCTTTTTCAGGTATACTGTAAAGCGGAACAGTTTTGGGGCGTGAGGACATTGCAAACGATTCCCCGAGGCCATATAATTGGAGATTATGTCGGGGAAGTGACTCGGAACAGAGTGGACGACACCGTGGACAGTTATATCTTTGGCATATCAGAGGGCGAGGATGAGTGGTTTGTGAATGCCTACAGGAAAGGCAACTTCACCCGCTTTATTAACCATTCGTGCAACTGGAACACTGATTCTTTGCTCTTTTCGGTCGACGGAAGGATACGAGTCATCCTCTACACTAATCGCGACATTAGGATGAACGAGGAGATTACTATCGACTACGGACAGGAATGGTGGCAGCACAACTACGCCCTCAAGTGCCTATGTAAGCAAAGTAATTGCGACTACAATAAACGTTAGGGTAAGATCTAGGAATTTGTTAATGAATCTTTAAACATTGTGATCTCTTAAATTGTAAAACCGGTCTAGACTGATATTATCATAATATAGAACTGTACATTATATTGTTAATAAGTTTATTTGAATAAAATAACTGAGAGTTGTGATGAGTGATTGTTTGCAATGATTATTTACATTGAAGTAGACTTAAATAGGTTGTTCACAAAGAAGTCATAGTTTGACACAAAGATTTATCTTGTTATAAGATAGTTGAAGATACAGTAAGACAAATGTAGTATTATATAGTAAAAATAGACGTATAATAATGAAATAGCACAATTATTAGTAATGGTTTGAACATATTATAGTACTGATTGACTATAAGTATAGGAACGTATGATAAATTATGTCATTCCTACCCAAAATGGTCGTTGATAGTGGTGGTCCACTCGATTCTAGCGTACTCTTCCCCGTTCTCGCCCGTGATCACGGTGGTCATGTGAATCTTGGTTTCTGGATCGTCGATAGGATTGTCATCTTCATCAAGAGCCGAGAAGACCAGCTGAACTTCTTGTCTTTCCAGCACCTTCAGCTCCACTTCGGTCACGGTCTGATTCTCATGCCTCAGAAATAAGGATTCTGGAGCGTTTTCGCCCAATAGAGCGTGAATCTCAAGACTGTATTCTTCACCGTGCCGGAATCTCATTCCACTTGTCCTCACTGAAATAGGTATATCATTTTAATTTACTTTTTGACCAGTGTAATAGAAACAAACAATAAAGGAAAAAAGATACCAAAATCAATATGTATATAGTAAACGTGTCATTTAGTCTTAAAATGATAAATATTTGTTGTTTTTGTCACTGTTAGGCCGCTTTTGAAGTTGTTATATATTTATAGCTACTGCTCCAAATAAGAGAAAATCTTTGCGAAAACAACAAGACGGGTTACTGTAACTTACCACATCGTGTTTTGTCAAAGTGAAGTCGTATCATGGTGTGATGGTTGAATACTTGAGTGATGTGGTCGATTCTGAATTCACCATCGTCGTTTTCTTGGTTTGACAGCCGGCTGAGTCTGCCGTCGGTGTAAGCTAAAACTAACATTTTCTTAAGGTACATATTACAGTAAGTATGAAATTTCCTTCCAAAACTCAAAAAAGTTGCAAAAGATATAGTAATATACAATAATATATTACGTTATACTAGACTATACTCAGTTTTAACGATACAAAAGTAGTGTAAGCTTGCCTCAATTCCAGTTACAAACTTATAGAAACTAGCCAATTAAACCTCTGCAAGCCTTACCCATATCAAGACCGTCGGTAAGCATAATCGTTGTCTTCCGTGTTGGTCAGACCCACTTAAATGAGCTACACGTATGTTACGGAATCCTCGGCAGTACCTCGAACTAAAGTAATATTCTCGGTATATTAGTCATAACACGCGTTGTAGTGGGCAATTAAACACGTATTCACACGTATTTTGAAAAATATTTATTGGTCAATACATAGATATTATATTATACACATCAATAACAACTCAGCTCTCCCGTCGCGTGAAGGGAGGCCGCGGCACCGCCTTCCGACGCCAGAAACCCGCTACAGGAGACGTGGACCCGCTTCTTGTCCAGCTTCATCGACGACATTCCGTTCGTCTGCAAACAATATTACACATAACAACGTAAAAGTAAGGTTTTAAGAGTTACCACACATCATACATAACATCACCAGGTCTACATTATGGTAAATAATAAGTTATAAAAAGTCTACATCATAACACCACTAATTGTAAGCAAAGATTACAAGGTATAGAGAACATAAAACACTACATCACCATCTTTAATTTATGTTTAAGCAAGTTACAAAGTAAACAAGACATCACAAAATCACTAATTTCAGATGTTAGGTAAGATACCGTGATTTACATGACATCCTATATAACACACAACACTAACTATATTAACATAAACAACAAGCTCTACAAAAATATTATCATAAACAATAACAAAACCTAACACACAATTAGCTGCTTATACACCTAGTGACATTACTTATGCCATACCTAGACAACAAATACAAATTGATGTGCTTACACATAACCTTACCCTCATCTTCAAAAACAATATACGTCTAACAAGAATACATCTACAGACACACGTCTATGTTCATCTACATTACAAAAATATATCTACAAAGTAGAGGTACTTGTTCTAGCATTAATGTATTTACGTACGATTACTTCAACATCAAACATAACAGTACTTATATAATACAAAACAAATGTACATAACATCGAAAATGGATGTACATTACTGACTAGCATGCTTACTCTTACATACATAAACCAATGTTAGAAGCTGTATATATAGATGTACTGCCCATGTTATTGAAAGCAATTAGATAGAGTACGTCATAGCTATAACTATTACATATAAATTAAAAGAAACACCTTAACCATGACGCTCAAGAGTACATTAGATGAAAATTGGGTAATGAATTGGTATGCGGCAATTGGGTGTAACAGGTCCCCAGAGAACCCAAAATTAGTTAAAGTAAACTCTCGGAACTAAATAGAACGCAACAAGTCATCCACACCTACATCAACATATACTTAATGTCCCACCACACAGAGCAATAACAATGTTGAATAAATTACTCTAAACGCTATATTATATATAAACATTTTAACACTACCGTATACCACACTTTTCTATTATTCAACATACAGTGTAAAAGATATAAGTACTACCTAGAAAGCCTACTATAATATAAAGAAAACACTTACTCCAGCTGTCAGACAAATCTTGTTTGAATTTCGAACTTCAATGCTGCCAGTCTTAGAATTGCAGAGTATTTTTTGGAATGGGCAGGTGATCTCAACCTGGCCGGTTGCAGTATCCTCGAGGACCAGCAGAGGACCAATGCTGACCTGATAGTGGGTCTCTCTCATCAACCTCATTCTGCTCACAGTAGCCGTCTTCAGCCAGAATTGACATCTTTCCAAACGCTAAAATATTATAGTAGTCGTCTTAGATTAAAAAATATTACAGTAATCATTTTACCTAAAATTAAAAAAATCAAAGAAATTAGTATTGTAGTAGATAAATCTCCATTTATACCGCTATGTTATTACCCAAAACCTACTTTATTGCTGAATGGACACTTTGTGAAGAAGATCTTAGAAGCAAAGTCGTATTTCATAAAAGGAAAGTCGATTTCCTTCGAATCGATCGGAGTAAAGTTGAAGTCCGGATCAACATAATAGGCAGTGGACAAGTTGGAAGACGAAAAGACAATACCAGTTGGACCAATTACAGCATTGTGCTCTATATTATTATGGGTATTCGCAGCTAAAACAATATTATTAAGCAAAATATAACAAAAAAAGTATGAATAATCAAGATATACCTAAAATTATATCATTTATACATATAAAATAAACTCTGCCATTTATATTATTATGTATCTTAAAAACGTGTAAGTTAGCTAATGTAAAACACGTCAAAACATACGAAAGTATCCGTTGACCACACGACCATCGTGCAACAGCATTCCAGACTCGTGGACCAACGCAGTACAACGATTACTGGCCGTGGACATTGACTGAAACATAACACAACTCTTTAGTCACTATAACAATAAAAAATCATATACCAAAGCTATATGTAAAGCTCTCCAACATAAATAGCAAAGGAGTTGCATAAAAAACTCAATTTTCCCAATAAAAACTTCAAACAAACTACTTTAGGTAACAACTTATAAATTTTTAAGTAAGACATAGTCGATAACATAAAACCTTACAGTGAAAAAAGGACTTCTGACACGAACGTTCTGTTCGATGCTCATGTCAATGTCCAGGTTGTTAGACAGCTGAATCGTAATGACTCCATTCGATGTGGCACTGATAACAGGCATTCTCCCCAGATTCTCCATAATTCCAGATCCTGGCACTGTCTTAAAGTTGTCAATCTTCGCCACTTTCACACCGGGCTCAGCCGGGATCTTGATCCTCTCGAAACCATAGTACATTCTCATGAATTCAGCACTGACCGCACCTGAAGACGGCGAGAACGCATTTCCTTGACGTCTGAATCCATCGCCGCTGGCTGAAACTGCACATCTGAGCTTCTTTGACTTCTCTGAAACAGAATTCAGAATTGGAAGAACTAAAAAAGCAATAACTGAGAAGAGAATCGATCTTATCATTGACTAAAACAATATTTTACAGAAAAAACCTTTTATAAAACAATAATTTACAAGTTTTGTAGCATCAACTAAAATAATATTTTTTAATAAAAAGCCATCGGTAAAACAATAGAAAAGATAATAAAGCATTCTTACCTTTCACAACAACCTTTTCCAAGATCTTGGAGTCAGAATCTTCTTGAGTTGAATGAATTTCACTAATGCAACTGTCTCCTCCTTCCATTGCGACAATCCGCGACAATGTTCGGCGATAAAATGAAGCAAAATACGTGTCCAACAAACAATATCCATCAGTTTATGCAAATTGGATCTTTCTCGAATATTTATTCCACGTTTTGTTTATTTTTTCAACTTATTTTTCGAATTTTATTCCGATCAATCTTCGTATAACATGACACTGCAGGCTGCAGTTTTGTTTTGTTTGAACGATATTCTCCGGAGATCTCCTACAACTTGGACCATTTTGGGCTCGGGCGATTTCTGAATAGTGTTATACTTAGAAAATACTTAATTGATGGAATAACTTTGTTGCCGTTTAAAAAATACAGAAAATAACACTTGTTTGTGGATGTTATCTATGTCTTGTTTTCCAATACTGTAAGCGAGTCATTTTGCATATCATTTGTACAATTTTAGCTTTTACTCTCACTTTACGACTATTTTGAATCAAACTGATCATTGTCATTGTCTTGTGGCTATTAATTTGCATGAATATTGTTTAATGAAGGGCTTTCAACACCCGATGCAAATTGATATTGGTCTTATCGCTTAATCGGCTGAAACAATTGTCCCAGGAAGTGTTGTTATTTCGATGAAATGTCGAGTGCTATATATAGACAGGCCGTAAAATAGATTTTGTTACAGACGGATAATTTTGATTTCAAAAGGAGACAAATACAATAATATGAATATAGGTATAGGCAGCTATCGGTCTACAGCTATCAGTGGATTCTTTTTCAAATTGTATTTGTATGACTACAGGTGTGCTTGCTGTAATTATAGATAACATGACATCTTGTTCTATATATAGTAAAGACAGTAAACCAGCTCAAGATCCAAAGCTAATCCTGTCTATTGTGCACGGTAGACTGGACTGATCCAGGCCAAAATAGAATCTGCAAGTGAATCATAATCCAGCTAATCTACTGCTGCAGTTCTGACGTGATTACCGTGCAGTAAAGTGTAATGTTTCGATCTCCAAAGTCTGCTAATACCTACATCTTATGCTCTGTCGTATGTTAATATCTGACGATCATCCGTTATGTTACCTTTTTGGTCGATGACTCTGTAAATGTTACTTTTACAGAGCAATTTACTCTATGAAAAGAAAGTTACTTTGTAAAGAGAAAGTTACTGTGAGTGTAAGAGCTGTTAATGTTTCGTGAGCAGTAATCTCGTGACGTCGCTGGGTACGTAACCCACATTACAGCGTGATATTACACTCTTAACCTTGGTTTTTGTATGGTATCTTGTTATTTCCTATAGTTAAGGAAGTTAAGGACACTAGCTGTGGAGGATATTACTCTGTAGGTTACCATGCATGAGTTGTAAACGTGACATTACTAAGGTTAACGTACGTAGAGACGGTAGCAATTTTGCCTACGTAACGATACATATGCTAATTTTCCAAGATGACATACGTAACGCGATTAATACCCATCAGTTCAAGTTTGCAGGCATATTATGTTAGGGTAAACACGACATCGTAGTATGTTTTGCTACAAAAAAGGCATCATTATAACACACAAATCACTGTAAATACCAAGTTGTAGCTGTAATTAATATATCATGAGCTACTACGCATTTTTACTATGCTAACATACGAAATGTCTTTGCTATGGTAAAGTGTTATGGTAAGGTACATCTTGGTATTTTTAGGTGGTAATAATATATTTTTACTGTAATTGATGATGTGTCTTTGATATGTGATACCCAGTAACATACCACGCATTTTCTGGTACAATAACTATCTTAACTTCCTTCGCATTGTGTTCTACTATATTAAATAAACATCATAGTACTGTAAGATAACATCATAGTAACACAATAAAGCAAAATTTGCCTCCGCTTTTCAATAATATACCTATTTACAATACTATCGGGTATTTTGACATTGTTTATCGCCCTTTAGAAGGTATTAAAACCCTCCGGAAATTAAATTTATTTAAATTTCACCTAGTGTAATATAATATCTGCTGCAGAGAATAGCTTACAATTGTGAAATTACCCTAATTGGAACAGTAATCAGAGATTACTCCGTATCCGGGCGAATCTTTGCCAGATTAAAAATACTTTTCCGAGACATTACATGTGATATTACAGTAAAGAGTGGGTAAATAACCAATATTACAGTAAAGCAGATAACTGGGTTCATGTAGGCAGTGGTCGGATGTGGCCTCCTACGTTTATTAATTTAATCAACTAGGTGCGTGTTCTGTTTTTCTGTTACGTAGCAATCATAACATCCGGTTCGAAGTTGAGTCCCGCCACGAAAACCCTGAACTTCAGGACGGGGTGCTCCAAATGGCTAAAATACGGGACAAATAATAATAAACAGAGCAAAGACTATATATTTATGAAGATGAGGCTAAGTTGTATCTACGTGAATGTAGGTGTCCTTACTCTGTGGTCACTTATCGTTACATTGTAGTAGTTTTTTGTTTTGTTTCGAAGAGATGGCATCAACTGACACGAAACAACAACTAAAAATAGGTAAGAATTGTAGGCGAGACGTTAAATAGAGCCCGGGCTAGCCCTGAGGTTATAAATAGATGGGACCGGAAGCCGTGGAGGAGGTGGTGACTGGTCAACCATGCAAAGTCAACATATTATCCATGGTTAGCAAGGATTATGTGCAATTACTGCGAACAATTACTTCCAAGAGAATTGGGAAATCCGAGTGTGGGTTAACTGTAGGTGTAGTAATAGGTATTGAGGGGATTAGGTTCAAGTAACAGTGCTTTTTGCTCTAAAATGACGTTTTTTGTTACCTAAAAAATAAAAAGTTTATAGTTTAGGTAACATTAAACTTGTTTATGACTAGAAAGTCTTGTTTTTATTAAATTAGGTCTGTTTTTGGAGATTCAGCTAGAGTAACTTTATGTTTGGACTCTGTGTAAACTTTACCTTGTTATTGAACATGTTGGAATGGTATCTTGTTAAACTGCAACAAGATAAAGATACCATTCCAATCTGTTTTTACGTTTACATTCGGTATGTCAGCACGCATATTACACTTTACAGAGTTCTGACTGCCATTTCTTTTTCGACCAAGAGTATGTCGATCTTGTAAATTAAAAAAAGGTACATACGATGCTATTACCACGGTATTTTTTAACCTTATCATGGTAAACTCATGTTTTATTTTTATCATGGTATTTGCGAAGATGTTAAGTTGTTTTAAAGCATTTTACCACGGTTTTATTTTTACACGACAAACGTTTGCTTCCGCACGTTATGTAGCTATTAATGTAGTTAATCCAGCACATTCCGAGGAGATACGACCATGTACATTTGTGAATTGATTTAATTAGTATATGACTTTTACTGTTTCACCGATAAACTGTAATGGTATTAGGGTTTAGGAAGTCACGTAACATTTCAAGGAACTTTTACTGAGTACAGTTATGTGATTTCATGATATAGCTGAGGAAAAGGTGTATATATGCATTTATATACAATCATTTGGACTTCGTGTACTATATGTATCATAATTTAGTTTTTTACTATATTACACATAGAAAGATACATGCTGTGGTAGACCTATACATATTAAAATAGAAGTTGTAGTAGGTGTACACAGATGTTTGTATATGAATACATACCATGGTACATGTCTTTTTGTAGATTGTATTACCTAAACAGTAGTCTAGTTTTTTGCAGTTCAAGAACCGGTTGTTTCTAAATGCTACTATAAATTATTTACTTTGGTATTTACAAATTTACATTACATTTTTTGCTAATTACCGAGTGTTTTAACCGGGAAATGGCAAAATGTAACAGCAGGGTTCAGTAATATTACCCTACATAACATTACAACTCGACATAGTATTTACACGAGCTCAGTAATTACATTGTGGTCAGAAAGAGACAGCATGTTGTAGTAGTTTGCAGAGATAAAGACTTAATGATATAGTTGTCTTCATAGAGAGGCATGTTGTAGTAGTTTTTAGAGATAATTATATAGCAGTATTCAGAGAGGTTATGTTGTAGTAGACATAGCAATATTTTGACATAATTAAGGTGTTCAAGGCTTTCCGGGCAATAAGAAGGTGTAATGTCAGTTAATTGTTACCTAAAAAAGTCGGAAGTTATTAGTAAGTTTCTTTTTTGTGTAAATAAGTTAAAGTGGCAGGTTACGGTACAAAACAAAGGGTTTAATTGTGATAAAGTGGTATTATACATGTCAGTATTACGACAATATCTAAGGGTACAATCGAATTTGTGATCATTTAAACTTTTTAGATTGAGTTATGGTAATTTTTTGTATTGATGATATGACAAATAAGTCTTAAACTGTACTAAAATCTTGGTATTTCACTTTTCACAATAATTTACTGTAAGATTCTAGTATCGAAGCTCTATGAATTAAATGACATTTACAATCAAACCTTATTGTAGCCACTTCTATTGTCTTGCCACTACAGTTAATACTCTGTAAGATTGTTCAGGAATGTGTTTGAACTTTTGAAATGTGTTTGTCGAGTAGAACATGTTGTTATAACAATGTTGTTGGCTTCGTTTGGAGGCTTCAGGATCTAAATGGGTTAATTGTCTTATAATTAGACCTCGGTTACTTTGTTGACACAAGGTATAAGGCTATTTGGAAGATAGTATAACATTGCCTAAGGCTTCTTTGAACTTTGGGAAGCCTGCTGCAGCTTGAGACAGTAATTAGAAGTTAATTGCAAGATCAGAGGTGATATTGGGGATTACTACAAGATCATAAGGTGATGTTTGAGTTGATATCAAGTTTATGTTACAGTAGGACTATAACATGGTTTTACAACTTATAAACATAACTTTAGAGCTTACAATGTTGTTAGTCTTAAAGTCAGAGTAAAGCCAAGAGTTTTACAGTAGTTTCTTGTTATTAGTCATAACTTGGCATGATATCGTACGTCCTTCCGGTCATAAACTGCTTTTTTACTGTACGTCTTTCCGGTCATAAAGCTATGTTACTATCCCGTCTTCGCCGTTTACTGCCGCGTGATGGGACAAACA